GTTACAGAGTTTGACGACTCAGAACGAGTCATCATAGCCAGCTTCTGGCGTGGTCAAGCCTAATGGCATTGTCGCGGCATTGTCGAGGGTGAAACAGACGGGTTTATTTCGGCTGAACACCAGGCTTAACATTAAACTTAGAACTGAAACAAAGTATGCATCAGTTTGGAGTTTGACCCCTGAAGATCCGGGGTAGAATAGGTCTTCAGCAACCCATGCTTACCGTAAGAGGCGACTGACTATGCTTGTTGTTAGAGGCGACTAACAGGATCGGGTGGTCAGACTCGCTGACTTGGTTTGATGCATGTCATTGATCCCGATTGCGTGGATCGATGCTCATGATGTCAATCACTTGATTGTCTGGTCCTGATTATTTACAGACCGCCGTCATATAGCTGGAATATTGCTGAGTGCGGCCCTTAAACAATAAACAAACAGTTTGGAGTTTAAAAGAATTGTTTTTGTGGAACTGAGTGTTTTTCATGCCTACATTACTTGGAACATTGTAAATTTGGTTCACAATGATACGGATCATCAGTGGTGGACATAAACCTTACACGTTTGCTGTGACTGATACCGATACCATATAAGGACCCTCCTAAATTCTGAAATTCTACTAGCCTCCAGGACACCTTTTTACGTTCCACAAACTGACTCGGGACTGACTAGTAAGAATGCCCATCGCTGATAATCCAAGTTGGATTTGGGTATTATTCCCTAGTCTACAGAGATATAGAATAATTTAAGTAAAATGGTCTAATGATGCAGTCTTTTCGTCATTGATAAAAAGTAGGTAATTTCACTTCACAAAACGTACGTTGTAGATGTGACATCAGTATCTTCTTCATGGCTCTCATTAACAGGGTCATACAATCTCGTAACGAGATTATTTACTACAATAGGTCTATTTAAGTCGAATGATACAATGTTTAAGTCAGTGATAAAAATAAGTAGGTAATTTCACTTCATAAAACGTAATAGATGTAATATCCTTATGTCCTTCATAGTACTCATTGACATGGTTTTAAAAGTCATAAAATGTCGTAACGAGATTATTTACTACAATAGGTCTAATGATGATGTGTTTTTGTCAGCGATAAGAAGTAGGGCGTTTCTGGTGATGTGTGACCACATTACATCCCCTGTGTTTGTAGTTGGCAATGGATACGTTGTACGTACGTGTCTTGAATGATAGGTGTTGATATAGGCGGGTCGGTACACTGTTGATTGTTGAAGTAAGTATTTGATACGCATGATAAGCAAAAGCTGTGTGAAATGGATGCAACACACCTAACAGACACGAATAGGGAAATATTTCTTCTGCTCTAGTTTGCAAATTTCAAAGGCACTGATGTGGATGTACAGGGATACATTTTACACACACACACACACACACACACACACACACACACGCACGCACGCACACACACACACACACACACACACACACACCTATTATTTGTGCACTCACCGTGGCCAGTTGGGTCAGCTTGTGTTGATAAAAACGCTATTGAACAACATGACCATATATTGAAAAACAGTTAATTGTTCTTCCTCCCATTCTTCATATTTTTGTGGAATGCCAAATACGAATATTACTAAATATCTATAAACTACATACAAGGAGGTGTAAATGGTGGCTTTCTACCTACAACAGGCCCCGACCTGTCATGTGGCGACACTTTTGTTTTAAAAAAGAAATTCCATTTTCAATTGGCACTCATTTAAAAATTAGCCACGATTATTGTTTTATTAGAAAGGATTAGCTATCATAACGGCCATCACAGCCATATAGGAGGACATTTCACTGTTGAACATTATCATTATGGATTTATGTCAATGTTCAGAAGCCTTCTGATTGGGTCAGATGCCTCTACTGCGATGCCGAAACGCGAGATTAATAATTCGCAAGAGATATCCAAAACAGGCCCAAATGGTTTAGAAAGTATCGCCTTCCGAATATAACAGCAAAGAGGTTTGCCGAAAAAACGCGAAAATGTGCATAGAGAATGGAAGAGTCATATATCCATGATCTGGGCTCAATGTCCTCTCAGAGTGTTATTTTTTTAACCAGATCAAGGCTCAGTGTCCCCTCAGGGGATTATTGTTTCAGTTATTTAAATACGCAATGTCCTCTCAGAGGGTTATTGTTTCAGTCAGATCAAGGCCCAGTGTCCTGTCAGAGGGTTATTGTTTCACTCAGATCAAGGCCCAATGTCCTCTCAGATGGTTAATGTTTCAGTCATGTCAAGGCCCAGGGTCCACTCAGAGGGTTATTGTTTCAGTCAAATCAAGGCCCAGTGTCCTCTCAGAGGGTTATTGTTTCAGTCAAATCAAGGCCCAGTGTCCTCTCAGAGGGTTATTGTTTCAGTCAGATCAAGGCCCAGTGTCCCCACAGAGGGTTATTGTTTCAGTCAGATCAAGGCCTAGTGTCCCCTCAGAGGGTTATTGTTTCAGTCAAATCAAGGCCCAGTGTCCCCTCAGAGGATTATTGTTTCAGTCAGATCAAGGCCCAGTGTCCTCTCAGAGGGTTATTGTTTCAGTCAGATCAAGGCCCAGTGACCACTCAGAGGGTTATTGTTTCAGTCAGATCAAGGCCCAGTGTCCTCTCGGAGGGTTATTGTTTCAGTCAGATCAAGACCAAGTGTCCTCTCAGACGGTTATTGTTTCAGTCAGATCAAGGCCCAGTGTCTCCTCAGAGGGTAATTGTTTCAGTCAGATCAAGGCCCAGTGACCACTCAGAGGGTTATTCTTTCAGTCAGATCAAGGCCCAGTGTCCTCTCAGAGGGTTATTGTTTCAGTCAGAGCAAGGCCCAGTGTCTCCTCAGAGGGTTTTTGTTTCAGTCAGATCAAGGCCAAGTGTCCTCTCAGAGGATTATTGTTTCAGTCAGGTAAAGGCCAAGTGTCCTCTCAGAGGGTTATTGTTTCAGTCAGAGCAAGGCCCAATGTCTCCTCAGAGGGTTATTGTTTCAGTCAGATCAAGGCCCAGTGTCCTCTCAGAGGGTTATTGTTTCAGTCAGATCAAGGCCCAGTGTCTCCTCAGAGGGTTATTGTTTCAGTCAGTTCAAGGCCCAGTGTCCTCTCAGGGGGTTATTGTTTCAGTCAAATCAAGGCCCAGTGTCCTCTCAGAGGGTTATTGTTTCAGTCAAATCAAGGCCCAGTGTCCTGTCAGAGGGTTATTGTTTCAGTCAGATCAAGGCCCAGTGTCCCCACAGAGGGTTATTGTTTCAGTCAGATCAAGGCCTAGTGTCCCCTCAGAGGGTTATTGTTTCAGTCAAATCAAGGCCCAGTGTCCCCTCAGAGGATTATTGTTTCAGTCAGATCAAGGCCCAGTGTCCTCTCAGAGGGTTATTGTTTCAGTCAGAGCAAGGCCCAGTGACCACTCAGAGGGTTATTGTTTCAGTCAGATCAAGGCCCAGTGTCCCCACAGAGGGTTATTGTTTCAGTCAGATCAAGACCCAGTGTCCTCTCAGACGGTTATTGTTTCAGTCAGATCAAGGCCCAGTGTCTCCTCAGAGGGTAATTGTTTCAGTCAGATCAAGGCCCAGTGACCACTCAGAGGGTTATTCTTTCAGTCAGATCAAGGCCCAGTGTCCTCTCAGAGGGTTATTGTTTCAGTCAGAGCAAGGCCCAGTGTCTCCTCAGAGGGTTTTTGTTTCAGTCAGATCAAGGCCAAGTGTCCTCTCAGAGGATTATTGTTTCAGTCAGGTAAAGGCCAAGTGTCCTCTCAGAGGGTAATTGTTTCAGTCAGAGCAAGGCCCAATGTCTCCTCAGAGGGTTATCTTTTCAGTCAGATCAAGGCCCAGTGTCCTCTCAGAGGGTTATTGTTTCACTCAGATCAAGGCCCAGTGTCTCCTCAGAGGGTTATTGTTTCAGTCAGATCAAGGCCCAGTGTCCTCTCAGGGGGTTATTGTTTCAGTCTGATCAAGGCCCAGTGTCCACTCAGAGGGTTATTGTTTCAGTCTGACCAAGGCCTAGTGTCCCCTCAGAGGGTTATTGTTTCAGTCAAATCAAGGCCCATTGTCCCCTCAGAGGGTTATTGTTTCAGTCAGATCAAGGCCCAGTGTCCTGTCAGAGGGTTATTGTTTCAGTCAGATCAATGCCCAGTGTCCCCTCAGAGGGTTATTGTTTCAGCCAGATCAAGGCCCAGTGACCACTCAGAGGGTTATTGTTTCAGTCAGATCAAGGCCCAGTGACCACTCAGAGGGTTATTGTTTCAGTCAGATCAAGGCCCAGTGTCCCCTCAGAGGGTTATTGTTTCAGCCAGATCAAGGCTCAGTGTCCCCTCAGAGGATTATTGTTTCAGTCAGATCAAGGCTCAGTGTCCCCTCAGAGGGTTGTTGTTTCAGCCAGGTCATCTTCTCGAAGTAATGGCGTTAACTGACTATAAAAGTCCCTATATAGGCAGTTAACGCCCTTGACTCGGGAAGATGCAGCTAGGTCAAATGAACATGCTTCTTACCTGTTCCAGATTAAACAAATCTTCTTAGAATTCATCTTTCCCATCTGATTTCACATCAGATTCCACATAAAAGTTAATGATGCTTTGGTCAGGGGTAATTGTTGATACGCATGTTACACAGAAAAAAGAATGTGCAAAAATGCCACTTGGATACACTGTTTGGTTGGTAAAGTTGGTGTTTTTTCGTTATGTTTCCGATTTCCGATTTTCAAACATTCCCTGATATCATTCATTTCCGCCACGTGGTGAAATGGATTGAGCGTTTGCTCGGTGAGCGGAAGGTCGGTGGTTCGATACCCAGGTCGCGTCACACCACAAGACGTTAACAGGTAGTACTCGTTATCTTACCTGGTACTCGGCATAAAGGGCAATTGATTTTCAAAAAATTGTGGTGCAATTGAAAAATTTAGTACCATCAATATATAATAATGTATAAATCAATTGGAACGGAGGCGACGATTACAGTTTGTTTGTGGTTGCAATCAATATTATTTTATCATGCGTGACCACATGACATATTCTTGACAAAGCTAATCCGTTTTGTTTTTCAAAATCCTTTATTAGAATATTTCATAACAATTAAAATAAACTCCAAAAACACAATTGAAATGAAGTATAAAAATCTGCCCATTACAAGTAAAGCTTGAGTATTGAGACATTGGAACATTCTGTGCACAAGGCAGTCGGGTGTCTGGGAGTGGACATAGGCCAATACAGGGCGGATATGACGTAGCATGGTCACGTGGTGCTAGTCGTCCGCGGGCGCGTCCTTGTTGCTGCCGTGTTTCCTGATGAATTCCGACACTGCTGCATATGCTGAGGCACAAAGCAGTTTGAAGTGACCTGCAATATTATTGCATCAATAGATTTCTTAAACAACATGTGTCACGTGTCCCCAAAAATGAAATTACTCAATGTATAAGGAAGAAATGTACGTTCAAGTTAATCCTTGGTTAATATGTTTCAGGTGCGAAGTTGTAGATATGTATGATTCTGATCTTTGTTTCATACTTCTACTTGTCATGAGGGGGGCACGGGTGGCCCAGTCGTCTGAGGCGCCGCGATTCGCTGTGCAGAATTGCGTCCCTTGGGCACGCCAGAATACGATGATTGTGGGTTCGAATCCCGGTTCGCCCCAATTATGTTTCTAGGTTTGTCAGCACCATACCCGTGCTCGTGGGTTTCACCGAAGTGGTAAACGTCTTAGACCTGCATCACTTCGAGGTTTCCTCCTACATTAAGCTGACACGCCGTGATATAACTGAAATATTGCTAAAAGCGGCGTTAAACCCAACTCACTCACTCACTCTATTACATGAGAGACCAACAGACGTCGTATAGTGCGTGAATGTAACAAGACGTGGCAGTCAGCAAATACCTGGTAAAGTCACAGGTGATATAACTCAAGTGTGGACCAGGCAAACCAGTGATTGAAAACATGAGCACCGGTCTACGCCATCGGTGCGTTGTGTGACGCAAGCAGCCACGGAGCCAGCATGCACCGTATTGATATAGTCGCCCCCAAACGACAAGCAGTACAGTGCTGGGAGCTAAGTTAACCCAGGTCCCTTCGTGGTTGTCCAATATGTGAATGCGGAACAACTATGTATATATTGCCTGTAGCTCACCTGGCATCCTGAAGAATGCATGTGGCGCTCCCTTTACCAACACCAGCTTTGTCTGCACTCCAGCCTCAGATATTCGGTCACGGTAAGCTAAAATATGAGTCAATATATCTTGAAGTCGCTTAGGGTACTAATCTGATATGAAAGAAAATTATTTTAGAACTGACTTCAATATGTTTTGCGTTTACAGAGATATATGCGTAAAACCATATGTGCGTACTGTGTAAATACGCGTAGTGGATTTTCGCCAAGTCAGCACACCGGTTATAGGTTTATAACTCCATAACGGAAGGTGAGGTGAGGTGAAATTGGGTTTAACGTCGCGTCCAAGATTATTGCACTTATATAGCGACGTGCATGCACATGTGTGTGTGTGTGTGTGGCTGCTTGTACTAGTCCGGACTGATGCCGATTTATAGTGCTAGCCCATTGAGATACCATGCCGCAGTTTAACATGAATACCCCCCTCAGACACAGTATACTGATTCCAAGCCGACCAGTCCATGTTTTACCATCAAGTAACGTAACCATTTTAACGTCTTTTGGTATGACGCGGCCGAGGATCGAACCCCGGACCTTCCGCTCTCCGGGCGGACACTCTACCTCTAGACCACGGAGGCGGTCCCATAACGGAAACAACATATTCTTACAAATATATACGTCAACAATAATAACTTCACAGACTTCCTATACAAATTATAACAGATAAACACAAACATCAGACATCAGTACGAAATCAGTGACATCGCCCAGCGCAATAATACAACACAAGCCACGCCCATTTTATAATCAGGAAACGATAGTCCGTGGGCATAGAAACAAACGCAGAATATTAAAAAAAATTATAAGCAAATAACCAACTTTAAGGAAGCACTATTTATGACCATATAAATCTTCAGAGATTAGCAGATTGTCACTGGAGATTTTAGAAATTCTTTCAAAATATTCAATTTGTTTTATCGGGAGATGTAAGACTTTTATCCATGGCATTGCATAAGCAAGGATTTTGTCACCTAACAATTAATATGCTGGTTCCAACATGGGGCTAATGCCCAGTTTTTCCCCAGCCAGGTGGTACACAGATACCGGTCGACCTAAATATAATGACTGATTATATGTCACAAAGATTTATAGTGAGTGAGTGAGTAAGGTTTTACGCCGCTTTTAGCAATATTCCAGCAATATCACGGCAGGGGACACCAGAAATGGGCTTCACACATTGTACCCATGCCGGGAATCGAACCCGGTCTTTGGCGTGACGAGCGAACGCTTTAACCACTAGGCTACCCGACCGCCCCACTAAGATTTATAGCTGAGGTATATGCATCTGGACCGGGGTCCTTTGATCAGGTGATGGTGGGATGGAATCAAAGGTTTATCCTGATTCTAGGTTTGAAGACTTTTCCCTTGGCAAACGCTTCCAACGGGCTTTCCTCCCACGTTAAGCTGACACGCCATGATGCAACTGGAATACTGTTCAAAGAGGCGTTAAATCCAACTTAATCACTTGATATCAGATTAGAGTTTACCGTATCCGCAGTCTCTCAGTGGATCTAGTTCAGCGAGGAGCACCAAGGCAGGGGGAAGTCCAGAGAACTGCTTCCTCAACAGTGGAGTTACACGCGGGTTAGACAGCTGAGCTGGCGATGTGAGGGCGTGGTTCTCAAACCTTCAAACAACCATCGTCATCATCAAGTCTCCGAATGGCATTTAGAAGTGATTCACACAAGAGAGAGAATTTACGTCAACGTTTTTTATTATGATGAACACAACCTTCGGAGTACATGCTTATTCCTTCATCAGGTTCAGGAGTATACGCCAATCTCATTAAAATCAGATCTTAGTTCTCACTACCGCTAAACAAAGATCTGAGGACATCCCATTACGGGTTACGTCAGACCGACCTTGCGCGAACTTTGATCGACCAATGAAATGACCAATCAGAAAGAAGCTTTCTCGTGCTTTACGGCACTAATTTCAAAATTGGCGACTAAGCTTCGAAACATATTTTGACAAATTCTCGATTACAATTTGAAACCTAAACAAAAGAACATTCTGGAATGGCTAATAGATGGTCTACATTGTATGGATTCAGTCGTTAAACCCATAACTATCGTTCGGAATACCCCGTGTTAAAGTTTTTGAAATTGCATGATTAGAAACCACATTCCGACTGTCACTTTCATAATCTGGTAAGCGACGCTCTGATTGGTCAGATGAAAGGTTGTTCCGACGTGACCCCTAATGGGATGTCTTCAGATCTTTGTTTAGCGGTAGCGAGAACTAAGGTCTGATTTTAATGAGATTGGAGTATATGCTTACTCGTTAAACTGATGAAGGGGTAAGAATATACTCCGAAACGTTGTGGTTCTCAGTACAAAGAAGTTGACATCCATAAATTCTCTCCTTTATCATCATCATCATCATCATCATCAATATATACGAAGTATAAACATTATATATTTTGAAGCATTAAAATCCATTAGGAGGGACGATATACTTTCTACAGGTGATGACGATGTTAGTGTACTGTGTGAAACTGTGCTCTGTCCGTTGTATAATGAACCGTCGACATGTAATTAGGTTATTCAATATCATATTGATCTACATAATCAAAGCTTACAGGTAGTGTTTGAACGATTGGCTGCATCCTCGATTATCCAGTGTATCATACCAATTGTCTTATACATGTGTGTATATAATCGAGGGCTGCCAATTTGTTTGAGCCTCGTCCCCAGCCCCCTTTAACATAAAGTCTCAGCGCTACAGTCGTAGAGCTTGGGTCGTTTTGTCGAAAGTGTCCACAGATGAGGTGAGGTGAAATTGGGTTTAACGTCGCGTCCAAGATTATTGCACTTATATAGCGACGTGCATGCACGTGTATGTGTGTGTGTGGCTGCTTGTTCTAGTCCGGACTGATGCCGATTTATAGTGCTAGCTCACTGAGATACCATGCCGCAGTTTAACATGAATACCCCACTCAGACACAGTATACTGACTCCGAGCCGACCAGTCCTTGTTTTAGCCCCTTAATGCCGAGCGCCAGACAGGGTAACAACAAGTACAATCTTTTAACGTCTTTTTGTATGACGCGGCCCAGGATCGAACCCTGGACCTTCCGCTCTCCGGGCGGACGCTCTACCACAAGACCACGGAGGCGGTCTCGTGTCCACAGAGACAACATATTAAGTAATACGAAAACATAAAAGTATTTAAGGTCCATTTGATAACGTTGAAGCCTACCACTCCAGGGTTTTCTTGTTTAGTCCTGGCGTGTTGGCGAACTCTTCCACGGAAGGATATGTATTCTCAAGGTCCACCATCGGGTACACCAGCACCTGCAACATCCGGGACATAGCACATAGGAGGCGGCTGATGTAATTGGGGACTTGCACAAAGCGTTGTTGGATGGACATACACGAGTTGGATGGACATACACGAGTTGGATGGACATACACGAGTTGGATGGACATACACGAGTTGGATGGACATACACGAGTTGGATGGACATACACGAGTTGGATGGACATACACGAGTTGGATGGACATACACAAGTTGGGTGGACATACACGAGTTGAAAGGGCATACACGAGTTGGATGGGCATACACGAGTTGGATGGACATACACGAGTTGCATGGACATACACGAGTTGGATGGACATACACGAGTTGGATGGACATACACGAGTTGGATGGACATACACGAGTTGGATGGACATACACGAGTTGGATGGACATACACAAGTTGGATGGGCATACACGAGTTGGATGGACATACACGAGTTGGATGGACATACACGAGCTGGATGGGCATACACGAGTTGAAAGGGCATACACGAGTTGAAAGGGCATACACGAGTTGGATGGACATACACGAGTTGGATGGACATACACGAGCTGGATGGACATACACGAGTTGAAAGGGCATACACGAGTTGGATGGACATACACGAGTTGGATGGACATACACGAGTTGGATGGATATACATGAGTTGGATGGGCATACACGAGTTGGATGGACATACACGAGTTGGATGGACATACACGAGTTGGGTGGATATACACGAGTTGGATGGACATACACAAGTTGGATGGGCATACACGAGTTGGATGGACATACACGAGTTGGATGGACATACACGAGTTGGATGGACATACACGAGCTGGATGGACATACACGAGTTGGATGGACATACACGAGTTGGATGGACATACATGAGTTGGATGGACATACACGAGTTGGATGAACATACATGAGTTGGATGAACATACACGAGTTGGATGGACATACACGAGTTGGATGAACATACACGAGTTGGATGGACATACATGAGTTGGCTGGACATACACGAGTTGGATGGACATACACGAGTTGGATGAACATACATGAGTTGGATGAACATACACGAGTTGGATGGACATACACGAGTTGGATGAACATACATGAGTTGGATGAACATACACGAGTTGGATGGGCATACACGAGTTGGATGGACATACATGAGTTGGCTGGACATACACGAGTTGGATGGACATACACGAGTTGGATGAACATACATGAGTTGGATGGACATACACGAGTTGGATGGACATACACGAGTTGGATGGACATACACGAGTTGGATGGGCATACACGAGTTGGATGGGCATACATGAGTTGGCTGGGCATACACGAGTTGGATGGACATACACGAGTTGGATGGACATACACGAGTTGGATGGACATACACGAGTTGGATGGACATACACGAGTTGGATGAACATACATGAGTTGGATGGGCATACATGAGTTGGCTGGGCATACACGAGTTGGATGAACATACATGAGTTGGATGGACATACACGAGTTGGCTGGGCATACACGAGTTGGATGGGCATACACGAGTTGGATGGACATACCCGAGACACACAACGTATGCATTTATAAACTGACCATCAAAAGTAAGTATACCCAGTTTATTTTCGGAATAGTGACACTGATCAATGCAAACGGTGTATCTCGAGACTAGTAATTTGTCGAGAAAGAAACTCCGATGTACATAATAATTACCATCACCTGTCAACATCACAGCACACAGGAGTAAATGTGCGATTTCAGAACCACTTTACACGAAATGGGAAGAAACATTACGGTAATTGTCAATGACTAAACGTCAATGTTTCCACAATGTGTGTGTCCTCCACGTGCAACACAACAAGCGCGCCCACGACGTCGGCCGGAGTTTGAACAGCGCCTAATAACGACATGAGGATTTGCACGGGTTGTGTTCTCGTACTTTTGCACAGGACATGACCTGTGGATTCAAAACCATGTACGTCTTCTCTGGCCCAAGAGCAAGCTAACCTTCCCAGCGCGTGACACCTTACAAACTTCCGGGAACGGTAATCTTATATAATTCTAAAATTTCTTTTGGTCGCTAGTTTAGTTGTATAGACACATGGATTTGCTTTCTAATAAGGTCAGACCAATGTCAAAAATTATTAGACGGATAGAAGTGAAACTTTGATTCCATATTAATCGTGTTAACACTGATATAATATCTCACAAATAGATGGAATCGGGCATATATCCGTTCTGCATAATGAGTAAGAGCGCTTACCTCTGGTATATGTATTTTAATGCCGAAAGAAAAATTCGTGATGAGAGAATATTCATATGTGGGTAAGGGTGGCGTGTAGCATTGCGTCCCTTGGGCGCACCAGGATCCTATGATCGTGGCTTCGAATATCAGATTCGCACTGATTCTTGGTCTGACAGGATATGACAACACCGCAAGGCTAACTAACTGACTACGACCTATGTCATTTTCTCTTCCTGGCAGATTAAGCTGACAGGCTTCTTTAAAGAAACGATCGTTAACATTTCGTTAAAACAAACAAGTTCAGCTTTACCTGAAAGTCTACGTCCGGAACCTCATGGCACACGGTGGAGGCGATGTGACCACCTACACTGTCCCCGGCTGTGCCAAGAGCGCTGATGTTGTTTGCACCTGTCACACAGTGAATACAGATTCATAGACATACTCAAGGAAATAAACAAGGGAGCATAGGGCATTTTAGCGTGAGAAGGTTCATTGCTGTGTTGAAATGGTTTCCATATGAACAAAACGGAAGTGAGGGCTGGCTGTTGGTATCTGGTGTTATATACATCCCCGATCATCTTTGCGAATGTCATGTCAAGCCCTGTCCCCTTATTTAATACCGTTGGTATACCTTTTGGATGACAATTTCTTTATTGTTTAACACCCGTTCAGGGCCATGGGCGGATACAGCTTTTTTTAAATGGGGTGGTGCACAATTAAGATCTATTTATTGTCTTTGGTGGTAATTTATAAAGAAATAAAGATTTTTTTCGAAATAAAAAGGGGGGGGTGCGCACTTAGCGATCTTAGCGCTGAGATGATCTTAACTCCCATACTTTAACATAGGCTTACAATAGTCTTATTGCTAAGATCGTTTTGTGCAAGTGGGCCCAGGAGCTATTTCTTCAGGTGAAGGAAGTAGTTCCTCATAAAACGTTTCATGTCTTTATTTTCAACCAATTTCAAAATGCCTTTCAAAGACCTGATCAGTGTAACTGACAAAGAAATTCAAATTAGCTTCAGATGCTTCCAATATTCAAAAGTTGGATATATTATACATGTATATCAGATATATCACACAACTCAACTTTTGACATGTACATACTGTTAGGCCTACTTCACTCCGAGGACAGCTAACGGAAATACAAGAAATAGAGCTGAATAAGCGTGGCACTATCACATACTAGTCGTATGACAACATTTCCAATGATGGACAATTAATCTTAACCAATAGACACTATGACTACCCATATCAAAAGCTGTGTATGTTGTGCATAATGTGTATGCAAGAGAGGGTCATGCTGACATGCTTTTTTGTCAAAGTATGGCGTCGTGAAAGACAACGACATTGGTAAGAAGTCTGTTTCAAACGGTATTTGCCCTCCACAACATTCACCACATTCGTCACCACCAGAGACCATATACCGATATATCGGTATAAGGTCTCTGGTCACAACTCGCCCCTTTCCGTAACCTACAAGAAGACTCGTCCCCCTATTGATGAATGTTATGTGCGAAAATACGACAAACCAATCAGAATGCGCGTATGACTTCTAGTACTTCGGCCAAAGAATCCCTCAGGAATAAGTTATGATTTTACATGTCTTGCAATTAAAAATATACCCAAGATACATTTAAATGTGTTCAACTAAACTGTATAATAATGTAAGTCTCAATGTGTTTTCAGTAGCATCAAGAATATATATGATATATGGGGCAAATATACGTGAATCATTACGTAACAAGTTGACACTTGTTTTAGCGATACCCGTTTGCACTTAGACGGAACCCAGTCTCAAAAATGGCCACGGGAGAGGCACGAGTCGCGATTCGGCTTGTCCTGGAATAACACGAGTTGGTCACGAATGCAATAGCAATAACTCACCTATCAGTGCTCTGTTCATTTTCACCCATCGCGTCACACACACGGCGTCGTCCAGGCACGCCGGCAGTTTGTTCTCTGGTGCAAGTCTGTACTCCACACTCACCACCGTGCAAGGAGTATCCCTGTATGAACATAATCGCGTGTTAGCACTATAAAACTCAGTATACTACGATTTATCAGAGAAACTTTATATTGCCTTTTTTAATTGAATAAAGAAACCCGTAGCATTGATATCTTTAATATCAATTCGTCCCCAGCAATTGTGTAATATCAAGAAGTGAGGTTGTTTTAATGCCTCTTTCGACTTTGTTTCAGTTATACCAGTATATTCAGTGTCAGCTTGATCCGGGAGGCAGTAGATGTATTGTAGACAGCCATGCGTCCTCGATTGTCCAGTGTATATTTGTCAAGCATATATTTCTAAATAAGTGAGTGAAGTTTTAGGATGCTTGAAACAATATTGCAGCATTTTTTAAACAATATTGCAGCATTTTTTAAACAATATTGCAGTGTTCTTGCAACAATATTGCAGTGTTCCTGTAACAATATTGCAGTGTCACTGTAACAATATTGCAGTGTTCTTTAAACAATATTGCAGTGTTCTTTAAACAATATTGCTGTGTTCTTGTAACAATATTGCAGTGTTCTTGCAACAATATTGCAGTGTTCTTGTAACAATATTGCAGTGTTCTTGTAACATTATTGCAGTGTTCTTGTAACAATATTGCATTGTTCTTGTAACAATATTGCAGTGTTCTTGTAACAATATTGCAGTGTTCTTGTAACAATATTGCAGTGTTCTTGTATCAATATTGCAGTGTTCTTGTAACAATATTGCAGTGTTCTTGTAACAATATTGCAGTGTTCTTGTATCAATATTGCAGTGTTCTTGTAACAATAATGCAGTATTTTTGTAACAATATTGCAGTGTTCTTGTAACAATATTGCAGTTTTCTTGTAACAATATTGCAGTGTTCTTGTAACAATATTGCAGTGTTCTTGTAACAATATTGCAGTGTTCTTGTGACAATATTGCAGTGTTCTTGTATCAATATTGCAGTGTTCTTGTAACAATAATGCAGTATTTTTGTAACAATATTGCAGTGTTCTTTAAACATATTGCAGTGTTCTTTAAACAATATTGCAGTGTTCTTGTAACAATATTGCAGTGTTCTTGTAACAATATTGCTGTGTTCTTGTAACAATATTGCATTGTTCTTGTAACAATATTGCAGTGTTCTTGTAACAATATTGGAGTGTTCTTGTAACATTATTGCAGTATTCTTTAAACAATATTGCAGTGTTCTTTAAACAATATTGCAGTGTTCTTGTAACAATATTGCAGTGTTCTTGTAACATTATTGCAGTATTCTTTAAACAATATTGCAGTGTTCTTTAAACAATATTGCTGTGTTCTTGTAACAATATTGCATTGTTCTTGTAACAATATTGCATTGTTCTTGTAACAATATTGCTGTGTTCTTGTAACAATATTGCATTGTTCTTGTAACAATATTGCAGTGTTCATGTATCAATATTGCAGTGTTCTTGTAACAATATTGCAGTGTTCTTGTAACAATATTGCAGTGTTCTTGTAACAATATTGCAGTGTTCTTGTATCAATATTGCAATGTTCTTGTAACAATAATGCAGTATTTTTGTAACAATATTGCAGTGTTCTTTTAAAATATTGCAGTGTTCTTGTAACAATATTGCAGTGTTCTTTAAAAATATTGCAGTGTTCTTGTAACAATATTGCAGTGTTCTTGTAACGATATTGCAGTTTTCTTGTAACAATATTGCAGTGTTCTTGTAACAATATTGCAGTGTTCTTGTAACAATATTGCAGTGTTCGTGTAACAATATTGCAGTGTTCTTGTGACAATATTGCAGTGTTCTTGTATCAATATTGCAGTGTTCTTGTAACAATAATGCAGTATTTTTGTAACAATATTGCAGTGTTCTTTAAACATATTGCAGTGTTCTTTAAACAATATTGCAGTGTTCTTGTAACAATATTGCAGTGTTCTTGTAACAATATTGCAGTGTTCTTGTAACATTATTGCAGTATTCTTTAAACAATATTGCAGTGTTCTTTAAACAATATTGCTGTGTTCTTGTAACAATATTGCATTGTTCTTGTAACAATATTGCATTGTTCTTGTAACAATATTGCAGTGTTCTTGTAACAATATTGGAGTGTTCTTGTAACATTATTGCAGTATTCTTTAAACAATATTGCAGTGTTCTTTAAACAATATTGCAGTGTTCTTGTAACAATATTGCAGTGTTCTTGTAACATTATTGCAGTATTCTTTAAACAATATTGCAGTGTTCTTTAAACAATATTGCTGTGTTCTTGTAACAATATTGCATTGTTCTTGTAACAATATTGCAGTGTTCTTGTAACAATATTGCAGTGTTCTTGTAACAATATTTCAGTAGCACCAGACGAATGGGCGCGGAGACAAATTTATAATTGTCTTGGAAATCCTCAACGTGTATTTATCTCAATACAAAGGAGATTTTAACACTGCATCATCGAATAGGCACGATAACTTGCTTCATGTACACGATTCCTACATTTGCATGAATACAAAACTACTCATATCTTGAATATGTATGTTCACATATGTCTACAGCGGCTCATGTTTAGTCTTCACTGAAAGGAAATAAGGGATTAGCTGCGATGTAAACATAAAAGTGTTTATTTTCCCTTCAAATACATCTCGGACAGGGCCTGCCGGGCGCTAAACGACACTGAGCCTCGCTTCCTGCATAGCGACCTATATGTAATACAACTAGGTGGTTTATTGGTAAAGGATCTGCTTCCCGAAAGGGGCTGAAGCTCAGCCTCTCCCCCTGGATAAGATTGGTGACGTGTGTAGTGTGTGGGCTGTGTGATTTCAGTGTAAGTATTCAGATGACGCGCACAGAGACAGACAGACACACACACACACACACACACACACACACACACACACACACACACACACACCAGAGAACATATAACGATCGGAATATGGTCTCTGCATAGACACACACACGACCGCATATGCACACACACAGACACACAGACACAGTACAGAGTCTACTGTCTCACCTGGCGAGGGATCTGCATGTACTGTCTACAATCCCGCCTGACGAGGGATCTGCATATACTGTGTACTGTCTCACATAGCGATGGTTCTGCATATACTGTTTACTGTCTCACCCTGCGAAGTTTCTACATTTACTGCATACCATCTCACCTGGCGAGGGATCTGCATATACTGTCTACTGTCTCACCTGGCGAGGGATCTGCAAATACTGTCTATTGTCTCACCTGGCGAGGGATCTGCATATACTGTCTACTGTCTCACCTGGCGAGTGATCTGCATATACTGTCTACTGTCTCACCTGGCGAGGAATCTGCATATACTGTCTACTGTCTCACCTGGCGAGGGATCTGCATATACTGTCTACTGTCTCACATAGCGATGGTTCTGCATATACTGTTTACTGTCTCACCCTGCGAAGTTTCTACATTTACTGCATACCATCTCACCTGGCGAGGGATCTGCATATACTGTCTACTGTCTCACCTGGCGAAGGGATCTGCATATACTGTCTACTGTCTCACCTGGCGAGGGATCTGCATATACTGTCTACTGTCTCACCTGGCGAGGGATCTGCAAATACTGTCTACTGTCTCACCTGGCGAGGGATCTGCAAATACTGTCTACTGTCTCACATGGCGAGGGATCTGCATATACTGTCTACTGTCTCACCTGGCGAGGGATCTGCATATACTGTCTACTGTCTCACCTGGCGAGGGATCTGCATATACTGTCTACTGTCTCACCTGGCGAGGGATCTGCATATACTGTCTACTGTCTCACCTGGCGAGGGATCTGCATATACTGTCCACTGTTGCCCGTGATCCGACGACGAAGCCCCCACCATGAAAGTAGATGACAACGGGGGCTTCTGGGGGACATTTCGTTGTCCTGTAGACGCTCACTGGTATGCTGTCTGGGAAAATGGCCATGGATGAAGTGGGTGACGTTTAACGACGTTCAGTAAAACAACATCTGTATCACGGCGGCAAGTACAGAACCGGGCCAGCCAGTGATTGATAGCATGAGCAACGATAAACCAGGTGACACCGTGTTGCCACATGACCCCATCTCTCGACTGTTACGACAGGTATGGCCGGGGTGCTTCCTAGATTTTGTTCACCGGAAATATGACGAGGGTGCGATGACGGAGTGCAGCTAACCCGCGTGTCGATGTGAGAAAACACGCTGCTAGTGTATTGTCACACAAAGTAGTTTACAGACTCCCACGGTGTAGAGGTCGTCGAGGGCGTCGTCGGATGCACATGAGTGGGAAATAACAACACAGTTCATGCGTGCATATTGTCCACTTGCACAGCACAGTCAGCTTGTACGATATGACGCACTAGCTGTCCTACCTGTGAGAACAGTGCTTACATCCAAATGCAACACGTTTGTGAAGGTGTATTGAGACAATACACATTACGAGGCTAACATCGAATAATGCTTCAGGGATAACAAGTAACATTTATCAATACATGCGCAAGGATGTTTCTGTTGGCATTGACAATAAACGTACAAAGCTAAAATCGAATAATTCAATAGTGTTGACTAGTAATTAATCTATCACTACATAGGTAAGGATGTATTGGGACTATACATATTATGGGGCTATCATCCAATAATTCTACAGGGATAAGCAGTAGTTTTTTTATTTTTGTTTAAGGGACAATACACAAGGCTAATATCCAGTATTTCAACAGAGGTAAGCAGTAATCTAACAAATACTTGTGTAAGGTGTATGTGTTGTGACAATACGCATACAAGCTAACATCGAATAATGCATCAGGGATAACCAGTAACATATCTAATAAAAATATTTGTCTAAAAATCCCTGTAATTTTTTTTCTTCACGCTTCAATCGTTCATTGTTATCGGTTTATCAATAAAAAGGCTTTTACTTTCACACAGCAGCAGATGTAATCAGTGCGCCGAGTCGTACTCCGTTCACGTGGTTGACCTACCTTGATCCGCAGGTGACGGAACCCTAAACTCTTTGATCTGACCGTCAAACTCAACTTCACCCCCGAACAACTTGGCTGTTATCAGTCCCGCCTCCCGAGCATCGGGGGGTGTCAGCTCGATAATTGGCCGGTCCTTCCGACCCTCCAGGATTCGGAAATAATCCAGAGTTTCCTCGTGAATGTCATACTTGAGACCCGCTTCACCCCACGCCTCGACTGTAGACATACTGGTCCCGTCCCGTGTCTTATACAGGGATGTGATATGACTTATCTATTCCGGAGTGAGGTATACAGCCCTGATCAGCTACGTGTGACCTTGCCGTGTCGCCACCTCCGGGACTCTCCCGACTCTTCTATCGCTAGGCCCTTTTTACACGCTTCGAAGCAGATATATATATATTTTCACTCCATATATAGAGCAGCGACAGTACACGCCGACTGGCTGACTGGTTATCAGTCGATGCGTGATAAGGCGTTGTAAGTACTTATAAATACAACATGACTTGTACACGTAGTGTCCCTGTATCAAGCCAATTACTGTATATAACTTTTACACTGTGTTGTTATACATGCGTTATTTATGATATTTGGCAATTATAAACAAATAAAATTTACCACTTAGGTTCATCATGAATCGTACATTAAACACGGCTCTGCTAATAAGTCATGAAACAACATAGCTGGGAAATCATAGAGAGAGAGAGAGAGAGAGAGAGAGAGAGAGAGGGAGCATTATTGACACTCGAAGGTAATAATTTTCCTTACGGATTTACCAGAACATGCTGCTGTTCCTGGAGAAACGTGTGTTTGACTTCTCCATTCACGTAAGACAATTGTTTTGAAGCAATCACCAGAAATAATACCCATTCTTCCCACACCACCTCGCAACCCCAGTACAAAATGGCTGGTTCCAGATTTCACCCGGAGTAAATAGATACGTTGTCATTATCCGTCTCACAGCAGAGGAAAAGTGAAAGTCGCATGATGATGTCTGGAAGGTGTCCGAAGTCCTCGCTCTGAAGTAAATATGTGTGCAGTATTCTAGAAGAAAGCCTGACTATTTTCTTGCATACGTCTGTGTACGTATGTGTGCAGTATTCTAGAAAGCCTGACTATTTTCTTGCATACGTCTGTGTACGTATGTGTGCAGTATTCTAGAAGAAAGCCTGACTATTTTCTTGCATACGTCTGTGTACGTATGTGTGCAGTATTCTAGAAGAAAGCCTGACTATTATACGTCTGTGAGATTACCCTTAAGATCCGAGGTTGTTACAAATCCGGGCCCAGGTCCCGGTAACCCCAATACTTAGCAGGTATATTCTCAGGTTCGTTTATGAACGTCCAACAAACTTGAAATTGTGACACTGTTGGTCTGAGGACCAGTTGTATACAGGGTGAGGTGAGGTGAAATGGGGTTTAACGTCGCGTCCAAGAGTATTGCACTTATATAGCGACGTGAGTGTGTGGCTGCTTGTACTAGACCGGACTGATGCCAATTTATAATGCTAGCTCACTGAGATACCATGCCGCAGTTTAACACGAATACCCCACTCAGACACAGTATACTGACTCCGAGCCGACCAGTCCTTGTTTTAATGCCGAGCCTCAGACAGGGTAGCAACAAGTACCATCTTTTAACGTCTTTTGGTATGACGCAGCCGGGGATCGAACTCCTGACCTTCCGCTCTCCGGGCTGACGCTCTACCGCTAGACCACGGAGGCGGTCTGTATACAGGGAAACCTGGCGACAGCAAACATACCTTTACCCGTCATATACCTGATATTTAGATGTCTCTATGATGACGTCTGAGTGAGGTGAAATGGGGTTTACCGTCGCGTTCAAGATTATTGTAAATAGCGACGTGCATGCACGTGTGTGTGTCTGTGACTAATGCCGGTTTTATAGTGCCAGCCCACTATGCCTCAGTTTAACATGAATACCCCTCTCAGAATACTGACTCCAGTTTTTGTTTTATCACCTTAATGTCGGTCAGGGTGACACCAAGTACCATCTTTTAATGCATCTTCAAGTTGCGGCCGGGGATCGAACTCCGAACTTCCCTCCTCCGGACAGCCGCATTATCCACCAGGCCACGGAGACGGCTGCACAAAGGCAATGATAGAATCCTGCTTTGCAACTACTCCGTGAAATCTGAACTTAGTGAATCGGTCTTAAATCCAACTCACGCACGCATATCAACATCCTTTGTATGTCGCAGACCACTTTGTTCTTGCTTGCTTCATTGTTATTTTACGCCGCAATTTTCAAGATATATGACGACGGCCTGAAAATAATTGAGTCTGGACAGGACAATGCCGTGATTGATATTATGTGCAACGTCTAACGCCATAGGGGAAAGATGTCACACAATCCACCACATCACCAAACCTGATCACCCGATCCATTTTAGTCGACTTTTACGACAGGCATGGGTTGCTGACGACCAATTCTAACCCAGAATGTCCACGGGGCGATTATCGTTCCTGGCAGTTGGTTTTACAATGAGAAACAAACAAAACTATAGGTAGTGGTTTGATCATCAATTTATGTATCTATTACAAGTGATTGTGAGCATGCATCATTGAGGAATTCTAGCTATGAACAGTGTCTGCTTACACTATAACAACTGCTTTGAGACAGGTCACATATTATGAGGAGGGGGTGGGGGTGTCAACAGTTCTAAGACAAATATCAACTCGCCTCCCTTCAATAAATGACCAGTCCTTTACGGCTTTACTGCGGTTCCGCGAGAGTAGCAGGGTAGTTTGGCAAAACATTGGCGCTTACAAAATGACCTCTGTACGCTTGTTCTCGTATCGTACCGGTCTGGTACTGCAAAGATATGACGAACATTATAACGGAAAAAGAGATACCGTATTCGACGTAATAAGCTCCCGGGTCGCTCTCAAAAATCTCAAAAAGGAGGCTCTGATTTGAATGTAATTTTGGTGAGAAAAAAAAAGAGTTGAAAGATCGTAAATTTCGTGGTTTATGCTGACAAGTGTGTGCGTATCATACATGAAAGATATATTTTTCAGAATTTAATTGCCCATATAATTCAGGGTGCATATAACACACGAGTGCGTATTTTACACGAATAAATAAGTCTTGTGTACATTAATCGGAAGGGGTGCTAATTGGGATTGTTCACAAGCCAATATAATACCCAATATCGCCGTGGGCTCTTATTAAAGCGGGGCGCTTATTACGTCGAATACGGTAAGTATTTGTGAGCAATAGCGTACATCGTCTGCTCAGTTAAGAGTCACGGGCCCTATATGTGTTTTCTGCCTGTATCCCTTCATAGAGCTTCGTGGTTTTGATCCTTTTTCTCAGTGACTAAATTTGCGGATGAACCTTGTAACAGCTTCGTAGGACAAACGGCAGTTCACTTCATAGTTTCCTAAAAACGATAAAAGGACGTGATGATAACAATGTATTTACCTGATTAAAGTTCCAAATCAGAACAATATGCGATATAGTTTGAAAGTGATAATACATTTTTTATTTGATTATAAATGACTCTGGTTATCGTTATAACCGTAACATTGTCGCATCACAAACTGAGCGAAATGCTACAGAGCATGGGTCTTAGCCTTTCTATAGAGAATAAATTCAGAGGACCTTGACCTTCTTCTTAATCAGTAACGACAACGTTGTTTCATAATGCATGAGTAGGGCAGATTGATGGAACAATTTACACGTCTGCCATTAAGAATTTAACGTCGAGCAGCGATAACGATGAATTGTATTCCCCTTTTATCAGATATATAGCGAATCCAAATCATCCTGAGACGAGACTGAGGCAATTATCTGTTCCGAGGAACTAGCAAGAAGTTTGCAAATTTGAGTTAGTGAAAAGGATAGATGGACGTTATCAGCACGCACCGTAATAGTCACATGCTGTTTATAATGTTATAAAGTTTTCGTGACGGTGTCTACCTGTACAAGCTATTAACTGTTTAACTTATTACCTGGCATGTGGAAAAATGCATGGGGCGCCCCCTGGAGTGTGATGCAGTCAGTTGTGACGCCAGCAGACGATAATTTATCCCGATAGGCTATGGAAAGCATACACATCATTTGAAATATATATTCAAACTCACTGGGGCTTGTAACGCAAAAAATAGCAGCTTCAAGATATATGGCCACAACCAGTGTTTATATAAGAATCCTTTTATATAAAACCCTGTTTTCAAACTGAACTGAATTATATGATTATGACAAAAGGGCTTAGGCAGAAGAGTGTCATCGGGAAACTGTCAGACCAATACACACACCCAAATGTGTGAGACGCACTATGTATATACAGGCAGGACATGACATAAGGTAAAACCAGCATACAAATAGTCTAGGAGTGAGTGAGTGAGTTTGGTTTAACGCCGCTTGGAACAGTTTTCCAGTTAAATAACGGCGTGTCAGCTTAATGTGGGAGGAAAGCCCGAAGTGATGCAGGTCTCAGACGTTTACCACTTCGGTGAAACCCACGAGCACGGGTATGGTGCTGACAAACCTAGAAACATATTCGGGGCGAACCGGGAAAATAGTCTAGGAGGACGCTTGGACACAAAATACAGAAACATTCTCTGTGAAATATAATCATAATTTAATTTTAGATAATTTTCATGCGTTGTCCTATGACCTTTGTATTTTTGTTCATGAATCCCTAAGACTGAAGGTTTATGTCATTATTTGGGTAATAGCCAAGCTTAAAATCCGCTTTTTGGTACACAGATACATATCAAGATTACTGTCGTTATTTAAGCACGTAAGCTAACGTCCTTAATTCCCCGAGTCCGTATTGTTAGATCATGCACTGCACTTAAGTCACCTACCGTATCCACAATCTCTTAGAGGGTCCAGTTCTGCTATAACAAATATTGCCGGTGGCAGGCGACTGAAGTCTTTGTGTAGTAAGGGAGAGTAGCGGGGATCTTTCACTTCTTCAGGGGAGGTGAAGTGAAGGTCCTGGAACCTACAACAACCATACATGATGGAGAGGCAAACGTCAGACCTGCAGACATCAGAGAAGCAGAAAACAGTGACCAGCAGACATCAGAGATAAGCAGACGAAGTAAACACGCAAACATCAAACACAGCTGGACGACAGTGAGTCACAAATATCAGGGAGAGGAAGTCGACAGTGAATTGCAGACATCGGACACAGACAGAAGACAGTGATCTGCAGACAGAGAGAATCAGACGAAAGTGACTAACAGACATCAGACACAGACAGACGACAGTGATTTGCAGACATCAGAGAGAAGCAGACGACAATAAACACGCAAACATCAGACACAAGCAGACGACAGTTACTTGCAGACACCACAGAGAATTTATACGACAGTGACTCACAAATATCAGAGAGAGGCAGTCGACAGGCAGACGACAGTGATTTGCAGGCGACAGTAAACATGCAAACATCAGACAGTGACTTGCAGACACCACAGAGAATTTATACGACAGTGACTCACAAATATCAGAGTGAGGCAGTCGACAGTGACTTGCAGACGTCAGAGACAGGCAGACGACAGTGATTTGCAGGCGACAGTAAACATGCAAAATCAGACACAGGCAAACGACAGTGACTTGCAGCCATCAGAGAGAAGCAGGCGACAGTGACTTCCAGACATAAGGGAGAAGCAGACGAAAGTAAACATGCAAACATCAAACACAGGTAGACAACAGTGACTTGCAGATATCAGATATAAGCAGAAGACAGTGAATTGCAGACATCCTAGAAAAGCAGACGACAGTGAATTGCAGACATCAGAAAGAGGCAGACGACAGTAACTTGCAGACATCAGAGAGCAGCAGACTACAGTAACTTGCAGACATCAGAGAAAGGTAGACGACAGTAAGATGCAAACAACAGACACGGGCAGACGAAAGTGACCAGAATACATCAGAAGCAGACGACAGATAACGTGAAAACATCAGACACAGGCTGGCGACAGTGACATCAGAAAGAAGCAGGTGACAATAACTTGCGGACATCAGAGAAAAGCAGACGACAGTCACTGGCAGAAATCATACAGAAGAAGGCAATAGTGACTAGCAAACATCTGAGAGAGGCAGACCAGACGCAGATATGAGAGAAGGCACAGTCCTAAGCTAAAGTCAAACGTCAGTAACATGCAAACATTAAAGAGAGGCAGACGACAGTGAGTCACAAATATCAGGGAGAGGAAGTCGACAGTGAATTGCAGACATCAGACACAGACAGAAGACAGTGATCTGCAGACAGAGAATCAGACGAAAGTGACTAACAGACATCAGACACAGGCAGACGACAGTGATTTGCAGACATCAGAGAGAAGCAGACGACAATAAACACGCAAACATCAGACACAAGCAGACGACAGTTACTTGCAGACACCACAGAGAATTTATACGACAGTGACTCACAAATATCAGAGAGAGGCAGTCGACAGTGACTTGCAGACGTCAGAGACAGGCAGACGACAGTGATTTGCAGGCGACAGTAAACATGCAAACATCAGACAGTGACTTGCAGACACCACAGAGAATTTATACGACAGTGACTCACAAATATCAGAGAGAGGCAGTCGACAGTGACTTGCAGACGTCAGAGACAGGCAGACGACAGTGATTTGCAGGCGACAGTAAACATGCAAAATCAGACACAGGCAAACGACAGTGACTTGCAGCCATCAGAGAGAAGCAGGCGACAGTAAACATGCAAAATCAGACACAGGCAAACGACAGTGACTTGCAGCCATCAGAGAGAAGCAGGCGACAGTGACTTCCAGACATAAGGGAGAAGCAGACGAAAGTAAACATGCAAACATCAAACACAGGTAGACAACAGTGACTTGCAGATATCAGATATAAGCAGAAGACAGTGAATTGCAGACATCCTAGAAAAGCAGACGACAGTGAATTGCAGACATCAGAAAGAGGCAGACGACAGTAACTTGCAGACATCAGAGAGCAGCAGACTACAGTAACTTGCAGACATCAGAGAAAGGTAGACGACAGTAAGATGCAAACAACAGACACGGGCAGACGAAAGTGACCAGAATACATCAGAAGCAGACGACAGATAACGTGAAAACATCAGACACAGGCTGGCGACAGTGACATCAGAAAGAAGCAGGTGACAATAACTTGCGGACATCAGAGAAAAGCAGACGACAGTCACTGGCAGAAATCATACAGAAGAAGGCAATAGTGACTAGCAAACATCTGAGAGAGGCAGACCAGACGCAGATATGAGAGAAAGGCACAGTCGTAAGCTAAAGTCAAACGTCAGTAACATGCAAACATTAAAGAGAGGCAGACACGCTGTTAATAATAAACAATAGCTGGACCTAACTTAGGTGTTTACTAACGTGCCTAGTCTAAAGTTTGATGCATTGGTTTGGTAACATTGTAACACGACGATGTGACACATCCTGTCAGGTCCTGGTCCCGTGAAGATTCCGGGCTAGAATTGGTCTTCAGCAACCCATGCTTGTCGTAAGAGGCGACTAACAGGATGGGGTGGTCAGGCTCGCTGACTTGGTTGATGCATGTCACCGTATCCTAATTGCGCAGATCGATTCTCATGATGACAATCACTGGATTGTCTGGTCCAGACTCGATTATTTACGGACCGCCGTCATATAGCTGGAATAGCGCTGAGTGCGGCGTTAAACAATAACAACAACAACCTGTCAAGTCCTGAATTTGTTGCTTAGAATTTGTCAGCTACTGATGTTGTTTCAGCAAATATGGTTCACTGGATATGTGTAGCTGCTGCAACATTTCATAAGGATCCACAATGGTTACTGAGACTGGAAACAGAACATTGTGACCTGTCTAAATGTGTGCCCACACCTAGTAATCCTGACGCGTGTACACTGCAAGTGCACAGGCCAAGCTCTGCGTGATAAAGATGTACCATAGCGGACCTCCGTGATGCAGGTCCGATGTCCCGGATACAATGTAACACGCCATTCTATCATCGGCCCCTTCCCGACTTACCACTGAATCATGCTTTGGTTAAGTCCTGGTGTTGTGGCAAACTCGCTGAAAGATGGCTGTGAGCACGTGTGGTCCGTCATAGGGTACACTAGAACCTAAAACAAGACCAGTTCATCTACTACCACTGTTTTTATTTCATTGGTTCTGTAAGTATCAGGACAATACAGCCATGGTATATCTATACGGCCTTGGAAAAAGAGTTGAGGTTCTCCTTAAAATTGTTTGGCTCCTATTTTCGTCGAGTAGGGCTATAGCTCTACCATACCTAAATGTCCATATATTCTGATTGTAACTGTGCTATGAAATGTGCCTACATGTAATTACGGTAAATCATTTCAACAAGGGACTGTCGGGTAGCCTTGTGGTTAAAGCGTTCGCTCGTCACGCCGAAGACCAGGGTTCGATTCCCGACATGGGTACAATGTGTGGAGCCCATTTCTGGTGTCCACCGCCGCGATATTGCTGTAGAATTGCTAAAAGCGGCGTAAAATCATACTCACTCACTTACTCATTTCAACACTCCATCGAGCACTGCATCTGGCACTCACCTTGAAATCCGCGTTGACCTTGAAATCCTTCAGCTTCTCCTTCAACCCCAGCGAATCGTAGTGATACTTACCCCCGAATACACCAGCTTTTTTACCTGAAAGTCGAGATCTCGCACCTCTACCTGACTAGAGTTACTTGCTCCTGAATTTACTCACCTGATTGTGATGCACGGACACCCTTCTCCTTCGCTGGGTTCCTCCAACACCAAATCGATTTTGGTTACCTGCCCCTGAAAACACAAGCCTGGAAGTCGACGTTGACGTGGTGCCAGACGGACGCCGCCAGATTTTCCCCTACAGTTACCTGCCCATGAATACACACGCCTCCCACCTGTAAGTCGACGTTGACGTGGTAACAGACGGACGCCGCCAGATTTCCCCATGCGCTGTCGCGTCCAACACCAACTCGACTAGAGTTACCTGCACCTGAATACACAAGCCTCTCACCTGGTAGTCGACGTTGGCGTGGTAACAGACGGACGCCGCCAGGTTTCCCCATGCGCTGTCTCCTCCAACACCAACTCTATTGGAGTTACCTGCCCCTGAATACACAAGCCTCTCACCTGGAAGTCGACGTTGGCGTGGTAACAGACGGACGCCGCCAGGTTTCCCCATGCGCTGTCTCCTCCAACACCAACTCTATTGGAGTTACCTGCCCCTGAATACACAAGCCTCTCACCTGGAAGTCGACGTTGGCGTGGTAACAGACGGACGCCGCCAGGTTTCCCCATGCGCTGTCTCCTCCAACACCAACTCTATTGGAGTTACCTGCCCCTGAATACACAAGCCTCTCACCTGGAAGTCGACGTTGGCGTGGTAACAGACGGACGCCGCCAGGTTTCCCCCTGCGCTGTCTCCTCCATCACCAACTCCATTGGAGTTACCTGCCCCTGAATACACAAGCCTCTCACCTGAAAGTCGACGTTGACTTGGTGACAGACGGACGCCGCCAGGTTTCCCCCTGCGCTGTCGCCTCCAACACCAACTCGACTAGAGTTATTTGCCCCTGAATTTAAAACAATAGAGTTTTTAATTAGCTAAATAACAATGTATTTTTTCCGACAATTGAGGCTTTAAAAAATACCACTTGAACAATAAAGATAGAATAAACGTTATAAAGGCTACAGGTTTCTTACATGAGCAACACTGAGAGACCCGGTGTTCACTTGCGGTAAAGGCATACCCGTATACTGGAAGCTGGAGCAGCGCTGTAAAGAGCTTTTAACTTTAAACAACAGGTGGAATGAGGGTCAATGGCCACTTGAAATGGGATAGTTCTCAAAGTTACGAAAAAGTAATACTTGCATGTTCAGAACTTAAATAGATGAGGTACAGAAAAAGGTTGAAACGGTTTACATTTAGAAAGTTTGATGAGAAATTCCGGAAACAAAATGAATCTGTCGTTGTCTGGTTGTATTGTCTTTGCTTGCTTATCTTACAAAAAGCAGCTCTGGGCTCTGGGCCCTGTTCCGTAGAGCGATCTTAGTGTGAAGGTGATCGTAACTTACATACTTTAACATAGACTTAAGGCAATTGAAGTGCTAAGATTGCTTTGTGGAACGAGGCCCTGGTCAAAGACTTGACTAAGCAAGAAAATCCCTACACGCAGCAGTTTGACACACTATTGTCGTACCTCTTGGGTGAACGTCGTAAAACCTTAACATGAAGTGTTTGAAAAATCGAAGGTTAGTTATCAGTCACAGAAGTAATTTGGCCATATTTATAAAGATCATTTCCTATATTTGACTGTTCGAGTGGCCCAAGAACGTGACATGGTCGACTGCCTGTCATCGTCTCGTGGCAATTTGCATCTTTGTTCATAATAGCAATCGTTAGTTTGTATGGAAATCTCCGGGGGGAGAATTTGTACGGGGGAGAGTTTATACCGGGACACCGGCGACATAGCTGGAATGTTTCGGAGTGTTGTGTTAAACACCAAACAAACACAATCAGTCAGACTGTATAGAAGCTCTGGATAGAATCCATACAAGATTTTATATCTTAGGTGTGAATGTCAGTTTGGAGTCATTAGTAAATATTGGTTCGGGTGGAGTGGAAAACTCTTGGTGCCATGTTAATAAAATTACCATTGTGCACATACCTACGGGTGCTTTGGTGCGTCACGTGATGACAACATTGCAAGACAAGAACGCAAATATTAAAGATGAAGTAGACTTTTAAACTTCAGCTCCATAGTGATGGGAAACTCGTGGAGCCAGCTGGACACCTTGAGGCATAACTCTAAACTCCTTTTTTTTCTAAAGTTTCTTCAGTTTTTTTCAAGTGAACAATTGACTTTCCTTTGCACGTGTTTGTGACGGTGTCGCCGGTGGTAGCAGGATACGGTAACCTTTTCGCTAACACCTACTTAGAAGTGATCCATAAACACATTCTTATGATATAGTTGGAATAGTACAATGGACTCTGCTTTTAGTAGATATTTCTTGTGATAATGGAAATGGTTTTTGTCACTTTTATTTTATATGTTGTCTTATTCTGACAATGAAACATGCGTTATACCATTACTTCCTACAATCATCTAGATTGTCACAAGACAGCAGAAATCAATTATTATGAATACATATAATCGTTCATCTTCCCAAGGCAAGGGAGTTAACTGACTTTAAAAGTCCAGTTTCCACCCTTGCCGAACTAGGCTGGAATTCCTGGGCTCGACCGTAGCGCCACCAATGGTTATTACGAGTGATGTTCCTTCTAAGCCTCTCCTATGGACCAATCAGATTCCACCTCTCGTATCACTTGCATTTGTTTCAAACAAAATGGTGGCGCCCAGTCAAAACGATCTGATTGATAATCAAGATCTATATTGTGATAAAACGGGTCTTACATAGCGAAATGCATCAAATCACGTGAGCAACTTGATTAAAAACATGAAAAGACTTGGAAAATATCTGTTGACAACGAGTTGGCGGTGCACATGCTTTGCAAATCCTGCAATCGACAGAAAACTGCACGACATTTTACAAACCGGATTTCGATTTCGGTGCGCGATTTTGATTGGACTATGCATAGACTCGTAAGCCCAGCCAAAATGTAACTCCATAATACCAGCCTAGTTCGGCAAGGGTGGTAACTAGACTTTTATAGTCAGTTAACTCACTTGCCTCGGGAAGATGATAATCGTTATATGTTTGGAGTAAATTAGAGAGTTTGCTTTTACGCCGCATTTAGCAATATTCCAGCAATATCATGGCAGGGGACAACAGACATGGCCTTCACACATTGTACACATGTGGGGAATTGAACCCAACTCTTCAGCACGTCGAGCGAACGCTTTATCCACTAGGCCACCTACAACACCTTGGAGTAAATGAAGAGTATTTATGCAACATTAAGTTGCCAAGGGTCTCGGGTTATATTGACCAGAGAGAAAAACACCAATCACCCATTTCAGAGCAGTGTGGGACCTCTGGTCCTGCTTCTGAAACCTGGTCTAATTAAAGGGTAATTCCGCCAGTAATGGATCACCTTTCTATAGGGGTTCACATTGATCTGAAGTTGTGTAATTGAAAGGAGACACGTGTACCTATGAGTGCCTTGTTCATGCAGACCCATCTAGTGACGCACTCCACGTCCTTGAACTGTGCAGGGAACCTGTGTTCCGGTGCCAGGCGGTACTCCGTGTTCACCACTATACAGGGCGTGTCTCTGAAACACATCAGCAGGTGCCCGTCATAGGTCGCAACATAAGGGTGGGAGGCAAAATACATAACAGACTACGACATGCATTAGGCTTTTTTTCATACAATCATAGCTTATGTAACCGGAGATGATGATTGCTGACATGTAAGTAAATACTCAATGGTTGAAAAATATTATGTGGAGCCATGTGTAGTTTAATAGTTGTATTTGTTTTTACATCTAAACTTCAAAAAGAACTGTATATACACGGTACTGTCACATGGTCAGGTTCGTCGACTTGGTTGAAACTTGTCATCGATCCCAATTGCGTGGATCGATGCTCATGATATCAATCACTAGATTGTCTGGTCCTGACTCGATTATTACCAGACCGCAGTCATATAGCTGGAATATTGCTGAGTGCGGCGTAAAACAACTAGCCATCCAACAAACCAACATGAATTTCTAAATGGGTGAACGAGATTTACTGCCTCTCTTGCACTTCCGGGGATGAAGGTCAACGCATTGGTGATAGAGGTATATTTTAACCCAAGTGATTGTTTCTATTTTTATAGAAATCATTCATATTTGTTTGTCAATATTGTCTTTCGTGAAACAGCTTTCCTTTCATAATGAAACACCAAACATCGAAAAGAAAATAACAAAACGTACCTGGCTATTAGTTTACAGGTGACATCATAAGCCTGTCTGGAGCCTACCACCATTCCTCCACCGTGGAAGTAGACGAGCACTGGGGCTGTGAGGGGGCAGATGGAGTCCTTGTACACGCTGACAGCAACGCCCTCTGGGCACAGTCAAGGAGGGGATGTAGACATATAACATGGTAACATTCGGCGCTAAGGTGGGTGAGTATGGTTTTAAGTTGCTTTAAGATATTTTTCAGCCATAACACGGCGGGAAATCGGCTTACAGCATTGTACTCATTTGGGAATCGAACCCCGGCCTTTCGTGTTACGAGCGAATGCTTAAAACTGCTATAGGCTTCCCCAACGCCTTTACCACTAAAAGACATGTGGGGCACCACAATTATAAAACATTAAGGCGGTTGTTTTTTTAGATGTGTATTAATCCTAATAGTATTCAAAACTCTGTCATTAATTTTCGTTAGAGAATATCTTCTCCTCATACTGTTTCTCTTGTCAGAGTGGACATGTTTTATATCTGACATTTTATATCATACCACAATAAGGCCAAGTCAACTCCATTGCGTAACGGGGCGGTCGGGTAGCCTAGTGGTTAAAGCGTTCGCTCGTCACGCCGAAGACCCGGATTCGATTCCCGACAGGGGTACAATGTGTGAAGCCCATTTCTGGTGTCCCCTGTCGTGATATTGCTGGAATATTGCTAAAAGTGGTGTAAAACCATACTCACTCACTCAATCATTGCATACCTTATATTTGCATGTATATGTTACTTGCATTCGCGTTTATTTCAAGCACAAAGTCATTTGTTCAAAAACTTATGAACTTAATGTGGTTCTTTCAATACAGTGTAAATCAAATTGAACAAAACATTAATAAGGTTTTTCTTGTATGCTATTAGCAATACAATATAGCAATATTTGTAATATAAACATTATATGAAAACGATCTAGGTGGCCTGTCGGTTATATATTCCCGTCTGAAGTAAAGAAGTAAAGTTGACTGATATGTTGATTTCATAATCATGTTTTAAGACATTTTTGTGTTTAAGATATGAACCTTTTTGTGTACGGCCTTGACCTTGGACGTAGATAGTAAAGATAAAATTCAACGATTGAGGGGCCACGTGTCTGTTGACAGCAGTATCGTAAATAATGCGTCGTGACTACGCGTACATATATCTGTATTCATGTCACCACTTCAAATGAACGTGACTGATCATACCACATATCAATCCTTGTGTGAGTGTATTGCTGCGTCACTGTAAGTACAGTTCGAGGTAGCGAACGTTTTTTTAACGCCGCAGTCAGCATATTCCAGCGGTTTCACGACAGTTTGTAAATTATCGAGCCTGGACAAAAAACACGTCATCGGAAGCGGATGACACATGAAGGAGTCGTTAATAGCCTGACTACCTGGTCCATTTTGATCGCCTTTAGGGACAAGCATGGGTTACTAGGAGCCAATTCTAAACTGCATTATCAACACCGGGTGTTATTACGTCGCTTAACGTCGTCGACGTTTTATTTGTGGCATCGTCATTATCATCAAAATGTTTAATACTGGCTGTGTATTCAGCCCGTCATCGGGAGACAACGCCGCTCATCAAACAGTTATGCAAGAGCTAAGAGCAGGAGAGATATATACAGCGATGTAATTAAGTTTCATCATTTTCGTAAACTGTCATATTAGTGGCGTGATTGCGGCAATTATGGTGACATGAATCCGCTGTAAGTGTAGTCGGTGTGTTGTGTTGGACTGATAACGTGCGAAAGATCTGGGTTACTTGCCGGGTAAAACCACTGTCCCACTGATCCGCATCTATCACCTTGACCTGTCATGGCCGTTCACTGGGCACATATAACTGAACTGGTCTGTCGAGCAAACAGCCGACATGAATACCCGTTAATTATTTTCTGCTGTGTATACGGCGGTACCCATCATGCCCATACGACAGTGGCGAAAAGCCATCATCAAGATTACACTTTGCAAAAATAATTTACGTGAAATTATTGTTTGATTATCTTACGCTTGCCTCCGAAAACACGACGAAGTCCATGCATGTTTGAGATGTAACTATTTATGCCATAGAACTTGCAGGTAGCAAACGACTTGCTTGTTATATATAAAATGCAATAAATAACAGCATAGCGAAGTCTCTCGTTGAACGAAAGGACCCCTGTCGTACCTTTTTTTCCACTGATAAGAATGGGCAAGATAAGAGGGCCCTCGTCTCTGTGTGTAAATACGGCCTTACCCGGACAATGAACGGACGGAACTGTGAATTCCTTGATGCTGCCTTTGAATTCAGTGTCTCCCGCGTAGAAAAGTGACGTCTGCAAGTTGGCTTCACGCGCTTCCTCCACACTGAGCTCTGGATAGGGTCTTGCTCCCCTCTCTTTTTGTTGGCGAAAAAACGCAAGGGTCTCCTCGTGGATTTTATACTTCTGCCCCGCCTCCCCCCACGCGTCTAAAGTCGCCATGTTGGTGTGATAGTCAGAGGCAGACGACCGTAAGCATATGGAAGAAATCTGCTCGATCAGTTCATATGCAGACGACAAGCGTAAGTGAGCAGGTTCTCTGCACTGTCAGGCGGACAGATATCGGGCGTTGAGGACAGTGTATTGAAGCTGTCGTCTCCCTGTTGAGGGACACGCTGGCATGATTTCAGATTAGGGGGTGTCAGATGTGAAGATACTTCAAAATACAAGATCATTGTCCATAGTTCATGATATGGGTGGCTGTTGTGACTCTCGGACAGAATAGCACACTATGCTTGTCGTAAGAGATGACTGTCTAGATCTATATATAGAGTGCTGTGGGTAAATTAGTAAGTATGGTTTTCGCCGCTTTTAGCAATATCACCCCCGGGAACACCAGAAATGGGCTTCATACATTGTACCCATGTGGGGAATGGAACCCGGGCCTTCGGCGTGACGAGTGAACGCATTAACCACTAGGCTATCCCATCGTCCCCTTATATATAGAGGACCGGGTGGTCACAATGCGTGTGACGTGAGTGACTGTTGTCAACCTCCTCAGCCAGCGTGGATCGTGCCCATACTTGAGATTCAGTCACTGATTTCCCTGACGCAGACTCGATTATTCACAAGCCGCTGTGACATTGCTGAAGGATTGTGACTGCTACGTCAACAATATTCACTCACTCACACGTGGGGTACTGATGACACCTATATCTGAAACATAACTGAGACTTTTCTCCTCACAACAAACATGAGGATATCATTATTACAGTGCACTAGATTCACAAGGCAACTTTATTTAACCCTCTGACATTTTACGCCATGTTGAAGGTCAATTCGACTTTTCAAAAGATGATTTTAAAAACGTTAAAATGAAAGTGTCATTAATGAATACATTCAGCTAACAAATTAAAATGGCGGCCCTTCTTCCGTGCCCGATCACCCTTGTCGAACAAGAAATTGCCATTCGTGAAATATTTATAGGTCAGATTAGGTGTCTATCGGTTTGGGGAAGTGGCTATGTTGGCTATTGGTATGGGGGTGGGTCTTTTTTAGTTTGAGATTAGAGTTTGTTTTGGTAGGGCTAGCTGGGAAGCCCTCTTCTTCAACCGGTATACAAGACATACATTAGAAGGTATATTCTCTTCCCTTCAACTGGTATATAAGACTTATACACTCTTCAAAAATAGAAACGCACAGGTAGATTTTTAGTAAATTTATTGTACCTAATAAAGTCGATATATTTTATTTAATATCATAGATACAAATATGAAATTTGGAGCTCGATAGTCACATGTTTGTCGTTGTGAAAGGCATTGAAAACTGTTCATTGGCATGTCACATAAGGCCACAAGGTTACGCTGAACTCGTGTGACCGCCCCGGGCAGCATTCACGGTTCTGCATCTCCTCGGCACTGCTTGGCCAGTTTTGGAGTGACTGCGGCGTGTTCTGACGTTGACGTACACGTCGATCGAGTTCATCCCAGATGTGTTCGACTGGGTTGAGATCTGGAGATCTCGACGGCCAGGGCAAGACGTTGATATTGGCAATGTGAAGGTAATCTACCGTGACACGAGCTGTGTGCGGTGGAGCGTTGTCCTTTTGAAACAGTTCCCTCTGGCGGTCAATGATTTGAAGAAGGTGAGGTTGAAGAATTTGATTCATGTAGCGATTTGCTGTCAAATTTGCCTGAACCACAACCAAGTCAGATCTCGTGGTGTAGGATATGGCCCCCCACACCATGACAATACCGCCACCGAAATTGTCGAATTCACGTACACAATGTGGGGCAAAACGCTCATTTCGACGACGATAAACACGTTGTCTTCCATCTCGCCGGTGAAGAAGAAATCGTGATTCATCGCTACACTCATGGCCTGTTTCTCAAATCCCAAGGCTGTAAGGTATGGAACCAACGCAAACGTCGCTGTCGATGGATCTGTTGCAAATCAGGGATGATAACTGTTCTTCTGGGTCGGATTCCAGCCTCGCGAAGATGATTCCTGACAGTTTGGTCCGATATCCTCTTCAAACCAGGGAAGCGTCCTGCACTCTCCGTAGCTGTGGCATTGCGATGACGTAGGTGGAACAGTTGAATGTAGCGATCCTGTGCAAGAGTGGTAACTCTTGGTCGGCCGGTTCTCGGACGGTCTGCAGTGGAATTGAACTGTGTGTATCGGTCCATTGAATTGGCGTGTAACAGAAGACTGCGATTCCCCTCTTTGGATACGTACTATGGCGATGTTCCAATCGGCAGCCCTGAGTCTCGGCATTTTCGAACTTGAAAAATGTTGACAATTGAATGACAAATTATTGGCTTGCCTTTTTATAGCCACTACCACGAGTTACGAATGCCATAACTTGCACATGCATTTGGCTTTACTGTTTTCCTCCATGACATTTTGTCCATGTGTGAAAACAATGCCGTTTAAGACATTGCAAATCAACAATGCCTGCGTTTTGACGCACCGTTTGTCGAATATCAGGCCACCAACATTTTCCAATAACATATATCCAATTTATATACCGGATTTTTTGTGTAGTCAGGTTCAATGAACTACAAACAACCTGTGCGTTTCTTTTTTTAAGTGAGTGAGTGAGTGAGTTTGGTTTTACGCCGCTTTTAGCAATATTCCAGCAATATCACGGCGGGGGACACCAGAAATGGGCTTCACACATTGTACCCATGTCGGGATTCGAACCCGGGTCTTCGGCGTGACGAGCGAACGCTTTAACCACCAGGCTACCCGACCGCCCCCCTCTTTTTTTAAGAGTGTATATTAGAAGGTATATTCCCTTCCCTTCAACTGGTATATGACGGCATGTATATTAGGTAGTATATTTTTGCTACTGGTATACGAAGACATATATTAGGAGGTATATTCCCTTACCTTCTAATGGTATACGAAGACATATATTAGGAGGTATATGCCCTTCTCTAGCCTTGCTCCAAGTCTGTGCTGAAAGTCCAAGAATGTGTAGTAATTCTATCCTTCTCATAGGGGGGGCGGTCGGGTAGCCTGGTGGTTAAAGCGTTCGCTCGTCACGCCGAAGACCCGGGTTCGATTCCCGACATGGGTACAATGTGTGAAGCCCATTTCTGGTGTCCCCCGCCGTGATATTGCTGGAATATTGCTAAAAGCGGCGTTAAATCAAACTCACTCACTCACTCACCTTCTCATAGGCAAGTCTAAATATGTAGACAACTCGTTCTTATTATTTACATAATCTAGAAAGTATGATTTAAACTAATAAAAATATTGCTTTCGAGACTTGTGCAGGGCTATCCCTTCCCTTCCACTGGTATATGATGACATATTTATTAAACAGTATATTTCCTTCAACTTGTATACGAAGACATATATTGGGATGTATATTCCCTTCCCTTCAAATATTATACGGAAACATATATATTCCCTTCAAGTGTAATTACAATTTTAAGCCACGAGTTACTGTTAGGCATTGGCATTATCTTGAAATGTCAACACCGTATCATGAAATTTCAAATTATTGGTAACTTGCATTTTCAAATTTATAATTTCGAGAAAGCATAAAAATGGTATGGCCCTAATTTGTTTCCGTAGGGACACATCCCTGTCCTATTAAATATATTTGACGATACATGTTTGGGGCATATTTCCTTTGTATCTTTTATTAATTTGTTACATTCCCTCTCACTCTCTAAAGTACCAGTTCTACTGAAAGTAGTCCCTTCATAACTGTACTAGTTGCTGGTGTAAAACATATGCCTTGTGTCTCGTCACGCGGCGTCCTGTGTGTAATTATGATGCTGAACGTATTACAATATAGATGTTATTGTCTCCAGAAAACTGTTGGCAAATCTGTAAATAGTCGTTCCATAATATTGAGACTCTGTCGTCGGTTGCGCTAAAATATAAATAAACACAACATTCGTTGTTTACTTTCAAAGAAAGTCACATGATATCCAGTCATGGAGAAGTACGCTTACTAAAAATAGCACAGTTTCTGGAGAAAGCCTAATTCTTGTTTCTAGTGGTCAGTATTGATACACAGGACTTGTAAGAGCTAGTCTGTCAGGGTATGTCAAGGTAAGTGTGTTAATTATGTCTCTTGACCGCTGAATGTATTTCTCGATCACCTCCAAGGCAACGAAGCATTGCACAAATAATTACATCAGTACGGCTGTGGGATCGCGCATTGATCCGGACTGTCCACGTCGATGTTAGCGTCCGGTGGGACGTTATATGTTGTTAACATGTATCGTGTGAAAGTTCGTCATCTCATGAAGCTCTGTAAGTTTGAATTGTTGTACCATGTTGGTGGTTTGGCGTTTAGGTATCGGTTACATGGTGTTTCTTTGAGGGGATATAATTACTTCCGGGCAAAGAATGTATACACCCATGTTTGATGGTGGCTAAACATGAAACAAAACAAGAAATGGTTATTCGATGATGATGTGTTTGACAGACAGACAGAATATTTTATTTTCGTTTCGCCCCAGGAAGGGATAAACAACATATACAACAATATATAACTGAGCCATCCCTTGCAGGATTATGAGAGACGTAATTATATACACGTACTATTTAGTATAAAATATAACATATACATACGGGTCACAGATATTCCATGCATCATATCAATGAGTATCTCACAACAGGCGACATGGTCATGACGTCTTAGGGAAGATGGGGTCACAGTTTCACACTTCACAGTGTTAAGAGACATTAAATAAAGGTTTTACATTTAGGAGAAATAAATAAAGGTTTTAGTTACATTTAGGAGACATTAAATAAAGGTTTTACTTACATTTAGGAATATAAATAAAGGTTTTTGTTACATTTGGGAGACATTAAATAAAGGTCTTACTTACATTTAGGAGACATTAAATAAAGGTTTTACTTACATTTAGGAGACATTAAATAAAGATTGTGATTTATTAGGGGACATTAAATATATGTTTAGTTACATTTAGGAGAAATAAATAAAGGTTTTAGTTACATTTAGGAGACATTAAATAAAGGTTTTACTTACATTTAGGAATATAAATAAAGGTTTTAGTTACATTTAGGAGACATTAAATAAAGGTTTTAGTTACATTTAGGAGACATTAAATAAAGGTTTTACTTACATTTATGAGGCATTAAATAAAGATTGTGATTCATTAGGGGACATTAAAAAAATGTTATAGTTACATTTAGGAGACATTAAATAAAGGTTTTAGTTACATTTAGGAGACATTTAATAAAGGTTTTAGTTACATTTAGGAGACATTAAATGAAGGTTTTAGTTACATTTAGGAGACATTTAATAAAAGTTTTAGTTACATTAAGGAGACATTAAATGAAGGTTTTAGTTATATTTAGGAGACATTAAATAAAGGTTTTAGTTACATTTAGAAGACATAACATACATATTGTTGGTTACATTTTGGGGACAAAAAAAGCTGATAGTTACATTTAGAAGATATCAAATACAGTTTTTAGCTACATCTAGGAAACATAAAATACTCGTTGTTCGTTACATTTAGGAGACATTAAATAAAGGCTGGGTAGCCAGTAGTAATGTTAACAGGCATGGCAGGTGAGTTTTCAAAAGATATATAAAGGTTTATATCTACTGTTAACTTCGGATGTCAACTGGGTGTGAGTTCCGTAGCAGTCGAGATGTCTTTCCCAGCATCTGTCACCAAGTGATGAGCATGATGAGAGTATTGTAAGTAAATGCTTACCAACGTACAGCAGGGCTCGCGTAGGATAAACTCATGTTGTAAATATTAGTGGAAAGTAATAAACATATGTCAGTTCAATTTAAGGGTCGTGTTCGCGATTTTAATGTTTGTTTGTTGTTTAACGCCGCTCTCAGCATTATTCCAGCTATATGCCGGCGGTCTGTAAATAATCGAGTCTGGACCAGATAATCCAATGACTGACATCATGAGCATCTATCCACGCAATTGGGATCGATAACATGCATCTACAAAGTCAGAGAGCCTGACCACCCGATCGTGTTTGTCGCCTCTTGCGACAAGCATAGTCGCCTTTTTCGGGAAGTATGGGTTGCTGAAGACCTATTCTACCCCGGATCTTCACGGGTCGCGATTTTAAGGAACTTTTGGGGACAATATACATATTGCTATTGTTACATTGTGAGTACATAAACATGACCGTTCAGTTGTAGGGCCAGGTTACTCTGACTGAATGGGTGAGTGAATGTTTTACTCTCATTCAGCAATATAACAATTATGTCACGGTGAGGTGGCACGGGTGGTCAAGTCGTCTTAGGCGCCGTTATTCGCTGTGCAGAGTTGCGTCCCTTGGGGACACCAGAAACCGAAGATTGTGGGTTTCGAATCCCGGTTCGCCCCGATTATGTCTGTAGGTGATCATCATACCTGTGCTCACCAAGTGTTAAACATCTGTGACCTGCATAACATCGGGCTTTCCTCACACATAAAGCTGACACGCCGTGACATTACTGGAATACTGTTCAAACCCAACTCACTCACTAAATCGTTATGTCACATGTCTGGGTCTGGGTACCATGACAAACAATCAGACAAGTCATCTTCTAAATGTACGGATGTACTGGGTGTCTATTCTGACTAGGAATCTTCAAGAGATCGATATACTTCAAACAACAACGACCTAAAAACTAAACGAGCCTATCAACTTGTGGAGAAAAATACAGTAAACTACGTTTATAACGAACTGACGGATATAACGAACTTATTTTTTAGTCCCGGCCATTTGATGTATATATGCTGTTTATATGTTTATAACGAACTACGGTTATTACGAACTGGTCCCTTTGAGTTCGTTATAACCGTAGTTTACTGTAAAGAAATCATACCTAAGTAGTTCATCACTTTGGTGAAACCCACACGCACTGGTATCACCTTGACAGACAAAGGATCATCAGTGGGATGAATCTAGGATTTGAACGCCCAACTAGTAGCTGTTGATCTGGCAACTAAGGGAGACAACCCTGCACAAAGAGTTGATGCTTCTTGGACCACTGGCTACCTATTCGAGCTAGGATCTACACCATGTATACATGGTCTTGAGGTGTATATATGTGTGGTCTGTGTTCAGAGCATTACCTGTCACCTTGTACTGGTCCCTCCATGTTCACCACATGACATTGTCTGAAAACAAACACAAAACCATGCAACATTCACATGCATCTGTGTCATATAACGCAGTATGCATATTTTGTATGTTATAGGGATACCAATAGTAGTGTGCAGCTGCAGTCCTAAGTTTAGACTTTCTATAGAGTAAAATATTTCGTGTGTAGTAACATATTTGTTCATTTACTTGAATACATGATTGAAATTCAATGTTAATATGCATGTTTTCCTTTATAATACAGGATGGCAGATCCAACTCTTAACGCCCTGGTGAATAGCGTGTCCAGTCACCTTGAACCACGAGAAGTAATGGATTATTTATATCAGGAACATGCGCTCAGCGAGGAGGACATGGACTTGGTCAATGTGAAGGTCACACGTAAAGATAGATGTCGTCTGCTGGTGGAGAGACTGACTTTCAGGGACAACAAGGTCAAGGCCTTGAAAACATTTGTGGACAGCTTGAGGTCGGATTATAGTTTTTTGGTGTCACCGGTTGCTGCTTCCGTCAAATCTGTTATTTCGTCAATCCATGAGACTGCTGCCATCCAAACACGCTCAGTTTCAGTGGTTGCCCCCATCCGTGATAGTTCCACTGACTCAGACGACGAAAACTCATTTACAAACAGGCGACATGCAAAAACAAAGGGAATCATTGCGCGCCCGTTGCCGAAATCGGGAGTAATCATAGACAGGAGAGTCCATCGTGTATTCAACATCCTGAGTAACTCTCTCAACAAGGGAGACTACTCGCAGTTTCGCGACAATTCCCAGAAACTGATGTCGTGTTGTCGATGTCCGGCAGACGTGCGATGCACTGTCCTCTACCTACAGTGTTGTCAGTCCTTGTTTCAGAACGACCTGAGTCAAACTAAATTGTTGTGTCAAGAAGCATCAAAATTGTTACAACATACCAGCAACCCCCTCGGATTCTCTGTGGACATTCTTTCCAAAAAAGCGTGGAGATATTTTAAACTTAACAAACTGAGTAAGTTAGAGAGTTGTCTTCGAGACGCCATGCAGCTGATTCATCAAGATCCACTAAGTTGCTCCGGGAAAGCGGCAGGGTGGATATTTGTTGATCATGCAAGACTATTGACATCTATCCTCGAAGTAGCTAGTCCACGTCGAAGTCACAATCTTAGACAACAAGCGCTCCGCAGTTTGGAGGAGGCAATAGAACACTTCAAAAGAGAAAACAGCAATGATGGACTCTTTGGGCAATCTCTCGCCTTCGTTAAGTATGCCTCACTTCTTCTCCAATGTGGGGAGAGTATGCAGTTTTCTGGGCTGAACCTCAATTCATTAAGTGTGGATAAAGCCAAGGATGTTTTGCGGATTGTTGAAGAATCGGAAATTGGCGTCCCTGAGATTCTTCGAGTGACGTACTACACAGCAATGTCGGACCTTCGTTACCGCCAGCAGAACGTCCAGCGGGCTCTAGAGTACGCTGCAGACGCCTCGGAACTGTCGGGAAGACTTGGAATGTGCGAGGAGCAAAGAAACGCAGGCACAAGGGTAGACTTCTACCAAACACGAAGAAGTAAAGAACAAGTAACCTTAATCACGGCAGATATCGAGGCAATATGGGCAGAGAGTGCCAGAGAAGCAGACGCAGACGACACATGTGTACCGGTTTCAGAAACAAAGAAGGTCGGATCGGATAAGCGATGTAAGAAAAGTAACTGGATAAGGGAGGTTATGTTGTGGGTGCGCTTCGTGGCTCTACTTTTGTGCATCATGGTGGGGTTTGTCACGCCACTTACGCTCAAAGATGTGCAGTAGGATCCATGACAACAGTTTGACCTACGTGCGTTGTGCAACTTGTAAATTGGGTCACTTGTAATGAAATTATGTCGAACACAAAGAGTCTACAGTTTTCAAAAGAAACCAGACACTCTGTTTCAACCAATAGGTGAATACTACTAGTCTGCTGGTTAGAAACGATGTTGCAAAGGAAGCAGTGCTCAATAAGTCTTCTGTGGAAATCTCGTTTAAGGTTTGTCATGAAAGTGTTTAAGTCTTTAACTTTCGTATAAAATGACATAAGCGAACAATGTCTCTACTTGCTGGGGCTTTCCAGCCTTATACGGGTGGCGGATACGATCCCAACTAAACATGCAGAGTTTATCAGCAATAGAGTGTTGCAGCATGGTAGAGAGTAGTACACAATTATCATCAAAAGCAGGGAATTGTATGGTGAGGGATAAAAGGGGCATGTGAGGCTACTTACTATCGGTCATTTACTGGACAACAATTATGGTCAACAAAACGTCCGTTGTGCGGTGCTTGGTAAGGTTTTGCATACTGTTTAATGCGGATCTCAAGGAGATGTTGAATTAAATGTTTAAATGTATGTGATTAGGCGTGACGAGTTATGTTGACCAACAATGTCAGATCTTGACTTGATTTAGTCACGAATCAAATCTTTATTCAGCCCATTGCTGAATATATTATACACACCTGGAAAAAACGTTAAGCACCCCCTCCTGTTGTAGCTATGAGTTTTTAAACCTGTGCCCTGACCCCAAATCTTTGGCATACAAAGCAGAACATTTCATTGTGTGTATTATTGGCAAAATTGGTACGCGATTTAAGTATGGAGCTGGAGGGTTCCCTATATTGTTATGGCTCGTAAGATGCTAACTACAAATGACCAATATGGCTTTAACAGGACTGTGTAACCACCACTTGCCCTGATAACCGCTTGAACATTCTCCACATGCCCCCAGTGACTGATGCGTTCCTGGGGTAGGTTTTGCCATTCTCAGTGCAATGCTTGTGACAATTCCTGTCGTTTGACTACTGTTGGGTCCAGGTTCGCGCGACAGTGATTATCTTTGTCATGGGGCACTAACTTTTTCCCACGTGTATCCATGACGGACTACTTGGGGTTTTTACATTCTGTTTCAGTATTCAGTTTGTTACTTTAACGCCTATTATCGTTTGGCACATGGATTGTTAGTTCATATAACATACGTTTTGTTATATCATGTCAATATAGTGCAAAATCATATTTTTGATTGTGTGTATTGTAACACTTCAGCATTTTAGCTGAACACTATATCTTTCCTTTACAGTGGCGTTATCGAGCCTTTCACTGGGTGGTGCAATATCATCGTTTCAGTTGACTCAAAGAGTACATTTATGTCACAGTAGCCAATATGTTTAAAACAAATATCAGATTTTGCTTGGGATGTTCCGGTAATTGCTTCACACACCAAAGGGACTACTAATGACCTGTCGAGATAAATAGTGGGATATATATGAAAATCCCAAACGTTGAGTATGTATTATAACTCAACGTTGCCCCCTTATAAACCTCAATTTGATGAGGATATTTGAGTTGCAAAATATAGAGCAAGGAACCTTTTATTTTGAGCAAATATTTGTTTATGAGGGTTATTCCAGGGTATTAACCCTTCCAGGGTTGGAACATTGAGCTGTCTTACATATTGCTTTGCCTTACACTTCGATAACACTGTTGTTCAAAAAGCAAGGAACTTTCTATACTTTGGTGTATTAAGAACAAATACAGTAGTTATGTGACACTGTAGATTATTACGGCTACATTTTAAAGGTGTGGCGAGGCACTAATATAGTGACGTCTGTGCGCGTGCGTGTGCGTGCGTGCGTGTGTGTGTGCATGCTTTATGCACTGTTAGTTTTATGGTGCTAGCCCACTGAGATACCAGGCCGCAGTTTAACATGAATACCCCACTCAGACATAGAATACTCCGATCTCCGACCAGTCCTTGTTTTTTACCCTTAATGCAGAGCGCCAGACAGGAAAATAACGTACCATTTTTAGCGTCTTTCGGTATGAACCACCGACCATCTCCGGGCGCTATCAACGAGACCACAGAGGTGGTCGCTACATAGTCATTGGCTGGATACACCTAACTGAGTGTCTACATGTACTTTGCTCCCTTTGGCGATTGCCCATTCTAAACGGCATTTTCAAATAAAACCTTTTCCTATTTGAAAACTTAATTAATTTCTCGCCTTGAAAGTATCGTGCAGTGTTAAAGCTTAGAACCGTGTCTTGTGTCCAGTAGGGTTGTTTGTGTTATTACGTTGTTACTGTTGTGTTTTTGGAAACAATTGCATGGTCACTTTTCATTTCATTATCTAAAATATAGTTTTGAGACTAATAAATGGGGTGCCGGTTTGCTTAAATGGGACATACATGGTTTGGTTATTATTATTATTATTATTATTATTATTATTTTGAATGTGTCACAAAAACTAGAGCTACTTTTGCATGGACGAAATCAAACCGTATCCACCATTTACAAGGATAGAGCTTGGTTTAACCCTTTCAACAGTAGTTCAGTTACATGGCGGTGGGTTAGCTTAATATGAGAGCTACGCCACTATTGTTTTTGTTTTGTTTGTTTGTTGTTAAACGCCGCACTCAGCAATAGTCCAGCTAAATAATCGCGTCTGGACCAGACAATCTAGTGATTGACATCATGAGCATCGATCCACGTAATTGGGGTCCGATGAAATGCATCAATTAAGTCAGCGAGACTGACCACCTGATCCCGGTCGTCGCCTATTACGACAAACGCGACAACTGACGCATGTCTTGGTCATTTACCACAAGCACCGATATGGTGCTTCCAATATAAGAATGACAATGCGAGCAAATCTGGGATTCGAACCACGACCACTGAATGATAACACGCCCAAGGGGTGCAACTCTGCCAAGCGAATTGCTGCTTGTACGAAGCGTGATCGCAGGAATGCCAAAATATTCAGGAACATTTTGACAGGCCATATCAATTGTCAATGGGGGTTTCCATCTCCATAATCATCTATCGTCTGCTTAATGGTGAGTTGAAATGGGGTTTAACGTCGTGTTCAAGATTATTGAACGTCGCTATATAAGTGCAAAATTCTTGAACACGACGATAACCTCAATTTCACCTTACCTCAATGAGACGCTTTTAACATTATTCCAGTTATATCCTGGCGTGTCAGCTCAACGTGGGAAAAGGCCCGAAGTGAAGCAGGTCTGACTTTAACCACTTCGGTGAAACCCACGAGCACGGACCGTCGGGTGTGGTGTCGACAAACCTAGAAACAATCGGGGCGAACCGGTATTTGAACGCACAATCATAGGTTTCTGGCGTGCCCAAGGGACGCAACTCTGCACAGCGAATCGCGGCGTCTAAGACGACTGGGCCACCCGTGCCACCCTCACCTCAAAGAGAGGCGTAATTCTACACACAAACATACATACCAGGTATGGATGAAAACGTCCACGCCAAACTACGATTGACTGTTTGAGTCTATTGCTGATTATGTTTCACTTTTTGTGAGTTTTCCCAGGACGTTCAACCTTGATATCATGCAGTTGCCCCAGGAGATAAGCTTAATATTGGTCATTAATGGTCAGGCCTTTCGGGAGGAAGTCACCTATTAGGAGGATCCCTTTGGGATCCCAGAAAACCGAAGACATCATGTTGCCAGCTGATGAAACAGGGTTTGCTATAGGAGGAGACGTTTAATGGTTCCATTAACTGTAGTTTAGTCTCTGGCTGATGTGAACCCAAGAGTTATCCATGGTTACAAATCGCTGAAACACATAAGCTGGGTCTTCTTCAAAACGACAAGTAAGGACCCGTTCTGACAGACCAGGATCCCCTTTCGGCTGTTTCATTGTATATAGCATGAATAACATTTCAATTGTGAAGAATCATCACAATCCATAGTTTGGTGCGCGCGTGTGTGGGGAGGGGGGAAAAGAGGAAGAGTTTCATACAGCCCAGTTTCCATATTCCTGTCATATCATGGTGACATCTAACTAATCAAGCTGTGACCTGTATAGTCAGTGATGAAAAGCAATTCTAAAAGCATGTGCAACATTCATGGTGACATTGATGCACACATCTCACACTGTCCATTTGGTTCTCATTTTGGTCCCCATCAGATGCCGAGGACCTAGTGCAAAAAGGAATCCCCATTGGGTACATAGTAATGTTCACATCATATGAATCTGCTTGACACTTGTAAAATGAGTTGATCAGCTCACTGGTGAGGAAAAAGTAATCAAATACTTCTAACTTTGAAACATTTTATTTATTACATAATTTAGTAATATATAGTTGTTTCATTGTGTACAGAGTACCTCAAGAGTAAGCAAACAATACCCCACATGAATAGCACATACATCCCAGCACTGAAGCCACAGTTGTCTCACAGATGAAGAAACGGATCACTATAGGTTGTACAATAAAATAGCAAAGCAGACATTTTCTCAAAGCCTCCTCAAAACTTAAAAACAGAACTTCACAAAAATATACAAGGCTACAACAAAGTGATACAATACACAGCTTCATAGAACATACCATAAACCAAATCACTAAAACAAGCTGCATCATTTCATCAAGTTGTCTTGAAAAGTCAGTCCATGCAAAACTCAATAGGTCAATTTTGAGAGTCCTTGCAACTGCAGGGAAACAACTCTGGGGAAAAAAAGAATTTAAGAACCACAGACCTCCAAAGAAAATCAAATGTATGTTTACAACAAAAGTGCTAAACTTCAACAAATTCCCAATATACAAATAAGGTTGATTACAAACATAATGACAAGCCGACATATCTACAATAAACATTGAAAATCGGTTCTGATCAACCCTTTAAACAATGATATATTAATAAATTATGCTCTAGGTGATCAGATAGTGGTCAAATAGATGAAAGCCTGGATAACATATCTGAGACTTATCAGACTCAAAGTTCCATATTGGCTGAATGTTTCCGATGACTGGTATAACTGTAACTGGCGGCCCATCCTAACCTACAAGAATGTTCACAAGAAAGTCAACAGAACAGCCTAGTCTTCTCCCCTGTGATAGTACATCTGTGCTAGATAGATAGCTATGAAGCTTGCAGTTAGACGGGGAGTGCTAGCTTGGTCTGCCAGTGGGGCATCATCTAGATGTCATCTATGTTGAAGTCATCTATCTCAGCAGTTGCAGGTTTAGGCTTCTCCTGCTGGCCAACCCTCTCAGTTGTGGAGTACACAACCTGAAACAGATAATAAAATGAGTTACTGCAAAAGAATTAGCTACTATATAATTTTTAAAAACTGAGTAAATTAAGGCCCTGCTTCTCAATTGATCAACAAACCCTGCTGAAGTCAAACATAAGCCAATTTAAGATTCCATATTCTGAATGCAGGCATGACGGACAACCATTTGTAAAATGAAATCCCTACTTTATTGTAAATGAGACATAAGTATTTTAACAAATACCCAACGGTGACAAAGTTTGGCATAAAGTGTATATTCAACATGCATTTAGAATACTCAAAAATGAAACCCTATCAACTCACACGGATGTCAAAGTTGAACCAAACATATGAACCATCAAGGTCATACTTTTCATCAACATATATACATAAACTGTCACATCCATGAATATAGAAAACCAAGAGAATTGATAAAATGTTTAAATGACTCAAATCATGGAAAATAGATCAACTGGATATAGAATTAGGTACTTCAAAATGTGCTTTTCCTGCAACTGTTTTAGTGTCAATTATGATGCCAGTTTCTAAATAGGAAAGCCATAATGACATGTTTTGCCATACCTCCAGGTTTTCATCATCATCTTCATCTTCCGTTTCCTCTTCAGCTTCTTGCAACCATGTTATGAATGGTGCAGCCTTCTCATGGATCTCCGCCGCAACTTGCTTCGACACATATTTCTTAGAAACCTGTAAACAATTTTCAAAGTGATAATTTTAGGGAAACTATCAAGCAATTCTGTACTGAACATCTGTTAAAAAGCAAATGAGTATTATGCTGAAAAGCTACATGTGATGAGCAGAAAAATATTCCATATATGTAACTTACTTAAAAATGCTTATAACCAGCAGAAACGCAAGTGTGCCATAATGGCAAAGATCACTTCTTTAAAGAAAGAATGTTGCCAGCCGCAGTCAGTAATATTTCAGCTAAATCAACTGAGTCTGAAAATAATATTAACCCAAAAACCCAACGACCAAACAACCCACTTACTGATAACATAAGCAACAATACACACAACCAGGGTATGATGGAATTAGTCAAGATCAGCCAAAGATACACATTTAGTCACATCCTACAAAAGCATCAGGTACTGGTGACCTATTCTGAACTGGAATATTTGAAGAAGCTGGTCATGTCTAGGTGTCTAAAGTGAGACTCCAGGAAATGGGCCTTACCTTCTTTGCCCAGTCTAGTAGCACTTCCTCCTCCAGGATGTCGGTATCGTACAATGCTTTGAGGATGTGAGGCATCTTCGGCAGCAGTGTGTCCTTGTGAACATTCCCCACCAGCTGCTCCAGGCCACCCAACAGGTACTTCTGGGCTTTCTGGTTGCCATGGCAGAACTGAAAAAGGCAATACAGCCAATACCTTTTGAACATTGTCGGGAAATGACAACTGTAAACATATTTATAAGGCCTAAGTAACAGGAAAATGTATAATCTTTAAATATGCAGTCAGAGTGTTTTTTCTCAATCAAGAATCTTGATGGGGAATCCAACACAAAGAAACTCATCATGTCTGCATTAGACTTAATTGTAGAACCTTGAACAGGCATGTGTGAAGAGGATAAACAGGAACTGTTTACAAACAACCCAGCATGAATGTACTTTTACTTTGAACATGGATGACAAGTTATTCACATTCTTAAGTTGATGACACTGCCAAAGATGACATACCACTCGGAAGAGCTTCTCATGCTCTTTGAGCTGTGCAAGGATCTTGGCACCGAGCAGCAATTCCACCAGAATTAGAGTAGCTTTGTCCTTCACCTCCAGCCTCTCAGCCTCAGAAACCACTTCCTTAAGGGTACTCTTCAAAGTTCCATTGTCACGACGTGTCTAGAGAATAAAGTAAGTCAAGAGTATTGTATAATGATCAGGACAAATCTGACTTTCAAAAGAATGACGTGCAGATCCAGGCAACCAAGGGAAGCAACTATGCACGGCGCGTTACAGCATCTCAGAACAGATCAATCATGTAGTCAAATCAGCATGATTAAAAGTTAGCCTCATCTCAATATGGTTTTTGATGCTGTGACACCAGGTACTGATTGAGCATTATTTCAATGTTGGGAGAAAACATTATCAAAGCCGACCAGTCTTTGTTTTAGCCCCTTAACTCTTTCAACACCAGTCAACCAG